CAGACGTAAGAGCAAGCTGGGAGGGCCGCAGTTCGGTTCGGAGTCCACAGAGAGGCCTTGACCCTCAGAGATATCGTGGCCCCTGGACTGGGCGTAGCGGTTTGGGGAGATTTGATGCAATCCAAGCCCATCAACAACAGAGGCTCCCAGTTGTTCCCTATGAAGCCCGCGTCGGAAAGCTTGAAAGCGTTTGAAGAGATGAGTTGACCATTATGCAGGATTCAACAAAAATGGTAGACTCTCTGATGTGAAGGATTGATTGGCATGCCCAATCCGCTGCACTCCGATGGTCTCGTCGACTATGAGGCAAGTTGAAATGGCATTTTACGGGATCAAGGATAGATGAACACTAACTTCCACAGTGGTCACTTCAATTAGTCATTATATAGTGTGGATTTCAGCCATATCTATATAATACAATTCTAAATATGGCAGTCTGCGTAGAATCCACATCTAAACGGTTTGTGGTTTTGCTCCATTCAAAAACGACATAATGGACTGCACTCTAGCTGTAACATAGAAGCAGAATGAAGTGGACTATCGCCTGCTTGTAGAGCAACATCGTCTTTCTGGCGGTCTTTTGTTTGTTTTGCCCCCTTTTTTTTCAATGTTCCATTTTGGGAGAAGCCGCGTTTCCAGCAGACCTCTTGGAAAAAAAGATAAAACACACAATGAAAACATCTCCAGAACCTCGTGCACTCGCAGGATGGAACTCCATGCACAAAGTCTCAGATGGCCAAGGACGTGGTGAACTTCCTGTGTGCTTTGGATTTGTTTCGGCGATTTGTGACTCACTCCCCCTTCAGCGAGAATCCAAGTTTATCCGGCTAACTGTTTTGCTTTTGTGTTCTTGCGACCTCTTCATTCTCGTTGGGTGCCGAAGAAGGGCATATCACTTGAGAAAGCTTACACTAGCCCTTCACATGGGCAACGGGTAAGAAGCACTGCGCAGCCTAGTCCGCATTGTCAAATAACCACGACTTATGGGGTATTTTGAGATGCTACATGGGGTCTGAACATGGGAACCGAACTGACTGACTGGATTGGTTTGGACATCTCATTCTTCCTAGGCTGGGCTGCGGAACCGGCGCACGATGAGCGGAAACTGATCGGCTTGAAGGCACCGTCTTTCACCTGTCCGGCGATACGTAGGATGGCCATTTTACGAGGCAACACGGCCATAGAGTGGACAAGGCGAAAGGGCATCCACTACTCCCTTTGTGCGTTCGATTCTGAATTTTCACTCGAACACATGCAGCATGACCTGCTGGTTGGGTTCGCCCCCCTGATTGAAGAACTGGAAGGTGACGATGGGCCTCTCCGAAAGAATTCTCGACGATTTGAGGTATGACAAACATCACATGCTCTCCTTCCTGCGTTCCCTCAATCATCCCAATCCATCCGCACTTTTTGGGACTGAATCGGAGTCCATCACGGCGACCTTCACGAGGCCGCGTCCGCCTGCCTAGTTGGCACCTTCATTGTGGGCTTCTGGTACCGCAGCATGTGGATCGGGTGCGCCCGGTGGAGGATCCGACCGGAGGATGCACTCGGGTCACCTGCAAGCGGCGTTGAGGGTAGGTAAACCTTGAGCATCCGTTCAGTGTGTTACTTCTTGACAGAAGATATCAGAAGACGGGTAGGACTTCTTCGGCTTCCCCGAAAGCTTTGAGACCATGGGAAGCAACACTTGAGGCTCAGTCTGAACTCATCGCACTCGAAACTTGTGTTACAGGAGTTCAGGCATTTGAGCCAGATATGTGGTCCAAACATGTCCAACAGACGGTTTGATCTTTTTGGTGAGAATCGGGATGGGTTGGGGAATTTCAGACCTATTTGGCTGAGACACGTGCAGCTCATCCCAGGTCTTCGGTTTGCTTTTTAAAAGACCACCGAGTCATCCTCTGAACCCAAAACCTTCATGAACGCGATGTCTTCGGCGACAGGTTCAAGACCCGGCGTATCGATTTCACCAAAGCCGTGATGTGAGCGATGCCCGCGGCAAGAAGGGGTCGCCTGATTTGGGAGCACCTGCATGTTCATCAGAACAGCCCACGAAAGTCAGCCATCTGGAGGAAATGCAATCAAACACATCATCACATCATCAATTCCTAATTACACAAAGCTGCATTCCACTCTGCACTACCACACAGACGCGCTGAAGAAGGAAAAGACCTTTGTTTTCCTCATGTGGGCGATCCCAACAGTTCGTCGATGGCCAAACTTACGGATTGTGTGGTGTCGTTTCACCACCACTGCGGAGGGACCTTCTTGTGGGTCAATCTGTGTGAAAAGATTCGCTGAGTGCAATATGCTTGGATGCACAAAATGAACAGAGTATTTTGGATTCTGGATGTGTAGATTTATACCGTTTCTCTCCTGCACATTGGACAGCTGAAGGATCACTGCTGTGTCGACTTTCTTGGCTTTTGTGCGATTTGGTGTAGGTAAGGTGGTGAGGTATTCATCGTCATTCTTTCGTATCTCTGCTTGCTTACGAAGTATGGAGCACTCGCCAGTTGCACATCCAGAGTCGAATTTGCAGTGATCTATCACACCGGCCGCATCCAGCACAGCTCCCGCATTTTAATGTTTGAAGCTGCCTTTGGCCAAGAGTGACAGCTGCCTCATGTCAGATGGACATTGCTCTTGTGCGGAGACACACAACCCCCAAGATGATCTCACAGTACTTCACCATGGTGAGTACACCAGTTTCTCACCTGGTAACCCAGCCTCAGTACCCAGAAGAAACTTCACCAGTATTCCTTCACCAGTTTCTCAGTGCCTTCTGTGAAGCACCCAGCCATGAAGTGCCGCTGAAACGCCAGCGGCTCGGTCTGACCGAGCCTTCGTCATGGCGAATCGGCGTCGACTGCCGAGGCGGGGCCATGTGTCATGGTGTGGCTGCGGGGCTATGCCCTTCCAGTGTTTTAAACACTTAACAACAAGACTTCAATACAGCAGGATTTCCAAAGCCAATGTGCTTGGAAAGAAGGGGTTGCTGCATTGTTGCAAACCAACTGACTTGAGCTTGGAAACCTCCTCGCAGACGCCGCCGCCCCTGGGGCCTTTGGGGCCTTTGGGGCCTTGGGCTCTTGGGCGCTTTTGGCCCGCTTGACATCGCGGGACCGTGTCTTTCAGGCGCGAAGAGCCACCCCACATCCCCAATAAGAATCTAGAAGCTAAAAATGAAGCCATGGCAGCCATGGGTCTTTTACATGGGCATTTTGAAGCATTTCTCTGGTCATTTTGGATTTCGATCCAAGTAGCTGACGGTGATCTTCTTTCAAACGTGGATGGCATGGATGGCCCCTCCTGCGCCATCCATGGGCTCTCTTCCGCTGTCCCCGAGGTGTGGAACCCACTCGCTTGGAACCTGTAAGCCTGTTGGTCGCGGTGGCAGGGAAGTCAAAGGCGTTGTCCTTGGCAGGCGTCCCGGTGGACGGGGCTGCGGAAAAAGGTTTGAAGAAAGATCATGAAAGATCCTCATAATTGTAGGATATTTTGTTGTGCCAAGATTGCATTCTGGATCAATTGGTTGCTATTTGTATCTATGTCATTGGAATTGGGTCGTCTCTAGCTCTGGCATCAGGCATCCTATGAGAGCCTTTGTCCTTGGTCCATGTTTGCCGTTTGCTGTTCGATCTCGATATTTCCTGCCTTGGCTTCACCAGGGGAGCCGGGATGCCCGGACGATGCAGGCGAACTCCAAGAGGCGCCGACAGGTGGTATGTCCCGTTGGGTTCGAATCCGCTACTCTTGACAGAAGTTGGAACAAGAATTTCCTCTCACCAAGATGGTCAATGAAGTCAATGACCCTAAACCCTAAACCGAGTGTGTGAAGACATTTTCCCGCTGTCCCCGTGCTAAATGTGCATACCTCTCTGTCCCCTTCCCTGCCAGGCCCTGGAGGCCTGGGCCACCGCAAGCCATGGCAGGCAGGAGTTGCGCGGGCGATAGAACTGGTGAAACTTGGAGGGTTTGAACCGGTGCCTATCTTCATGCAGTTTCAAGACGACGGTGCTGTCAGGCATGGGTGAAATCTCCTAGGCATTGTTACCTCCTTCCAACGCGAATGGGAAGTCCTCTCTGATTGGCGTCGAATCGGACTCGCAAGTCCTTCGCGTGACCACACTTGGATCACTTGGGACGGGGGGGGCTCTTGGAAGGAAAGAGAACAACACTTCTTTGTGAGGGGCCTTCTTCACTAATTCCTTTGGTCAGGCGAGGTCTCAGGATCTACAGGATCATGGCAATTCCGGTTGTTGGTATCCATCCATATCCCTGGTCCACCAATCAGATTGACACAACAGGCTGGAAAAAGGAAGCTCCAGCTATAGAATGCTTGGCATTGAAGTTGAGCGGAAGAAGATGAACAAGCTGTGGGAGGACTGGGGGCAGAATTTTGCTCCAGCCGATTCTTTTTCTTCTAAGTCCTTGGGCCAGTAGGTCACAGCCCGATTTGTGCTGTAGTGGATGGTTTTGGATATTCTTCGAGCCCTAGCCTACTAGCCGCCCGTTCGATATGACATGATTGACAACTCTTCGTTGGAACATCCACCGTTTGACAACCCTTCAGGAAGGACACTTGCTGGTCTCGTGCCTCTCGGCTCACGATGGTGTTCCTTCCGCTTGGGGCATTGGGCAGCAGCAGAGGATCTCATGAGCAGCAAGCGTAAGCTCTCGAGCTGGGACATGAGGACATGAGGAAAGCAATCCTCAGATGTTCCCGTGACCATTTTTTGGTGCCACCATTCTTGGATAGGAGTGACGATCCATGACCTTTTTGGCCTGAGGCACTGTGCATTTTAAATAGTTGCACAGCACAGTCAGTCGACTTTGAGGTTATGATGCTTTCGCCTGGCTCCGGACTGGACTCTTGGAGCGGTCAGTCTTCGGTCTCAAACGCCCAAGTTCTGAGAAGAAATCCGTATTTTCGTCGCTGAGGAAGATGTCCGGTGCATGGGCAGCCACCCAGCACCGAGGATGTGCTGCGGAGCATGGGGCGGGTCTTGGAACGACCTCCGGCAGAGGCCTCTGATGATGAGCTTCGGGCATGGATCGGCCGAGACGCTTGGAGATGAGTTTGATTGGTCAAAGCGAACGATACTCAACGATCACCGATGAACTCAGGCAAAAGCGAAGATCCTCCAGGATTGTACTGATTTGCAAATCTAAGCCTTGTTGCTGAAACATGACTTGGGATGATTCTCTACGGGCATGATGGGATGAACGATATCCTCCTTCCTGAAAGATCTTGCAGCCCGTCCGTGGCTGCTGTGAGTGAGACGTCCCCTTTCCCCAGCGCGATTGAGGAGTATGGAGAAGATGGTCTGAAGCGACTGCTGGCCTCCCAGGAGTGCAAGCCTGAAGCAAGCAAGCACCTCTCTGTGTTCTCAAGGCGGCGACCGATAGATTTCCTCTACAGCTGATGGGAAGAAGTCCCACCCCACACTGAGCTGCGACATGACCTTGCAGAACACCAGGGAAAAGGGATGTAGGGCAGTTGTCCGGTCTGTCTTCCTTCAGGAGCCACATGGTTTTGGTTGTCACAGTGATGGATACAGGGAAATCCAAAAGCATTCCAAGAACCAGCAAGAATCATGTAAGAACATCTTCCAATTTCTGGTCTTTCCACTCCAAAGTGACCTGTTGCAGGAGTCCCTGGAGTCACCTACCGAGTCCGCCTCCCCTTTGGTGGAGCTGAAGGACGACGCCCCGTCGCCTCGTCGCTCGCGCATGGCCTCCATGAACCGAGCGCCCGCAGGAATCCATGAACCTATAGGCCATGCGGCCACTAGGCCACTAGGTCTCAGTAAGAAAGCTCTTTGAAGCAAGCGATCGGATCGTGTGTCCTTTGCGATCCGATGATCAGGTGTCTCGGTTGGCCACCCTACGTCAGCTTGGAGAGTGCATTCGGCGACCCCAATTCCAATTAATCTGGTATTCTATAACTTCTCGGTCTGTGTTCGTCTGTCAGTTTTTTTGTCCTTCAGTTTTCCCGGAAAGACTCACAGAGTTGATGCGGAAATATCACTTGATATCACTTGAGCTCCAGCCACTTTGATGTGGTTTCGAGATGTTTCGAGGAGTTCTTTACATGGTTCCGGCGAAACTTCCCTTACTATCACGGCCACTGCGAGCGCTGCATGCGTGTCACACACTTCTTGGGTGTGGCGAGGCAGCGGCCCCAGAGCTGTAACAGAACAAGCTGTGGGCATGTGGCATTCACCTTCATTTTGTCAGATTTTCATAGATTTTCTAACCTTTCTTCTGGGTAGTTCCATTTAAGAGTGGACTGAGAAGCCGTGCTTCGACGCTTCAAGAATGGACCCTTTGAGCCCAAGCTCTTGAGAGATTCTCAGGTAACTAGTCGACGACTCAACTCAGTCAGTTGCTCAGTTGAGCCATCCGGGCTCAAGATCAGGTCCAACCCCCCCCGTCGTCACAGTAGGGCGCGCCTCTGCGGACCAACGATTTGGTGTCCGCCTTTTAGTTTTTCTTTTCGGAAGCGATACCATTGGCCATGGGCTGTGGCGCATCTCGTGTTGCCCCCGAGTATGACTCCATCTAACAAGCCGGAGATGGAGGCAAGATTGGTAGGGCTATGCTCAAAAAAAACCTGGTGGTAGGGCGGTTTGACAGCTTCTGGCGTGACATCTGAGACTGGTCTCGGAAAAAAGAGCGACACCCTCTCAGACGTCCCGAAAAAGGTTGTTTCAAGCTGTTTAAAGATGCTTTAAGCAGGCCAAAGTCGTAAGAGTCTGCTCGGTGATTCTGGTCGCTTCTGACTTATCGGCTACTTGGAGATTTGTTGCCTTCACAACCTTGTTCAACTGTTCACATCCTGCCAGATTGTGACCTCAAGAAGCGTGTCGGGCAGAAAGGCAGGAACTCTCAAAGACACTTGTCTGCAGCGAAAGGAATTGTGATGATGCAACATTCGGAGGCATACGGCTGGCACCTGCCAGAGATGTCTCCGGTTTCCGCATGATTATTGGGTGGCTGTTGGATCTTGATCCTGCAAATAACCCGTAATAGCACTCGTATTTTCCCAGTCGGAGGGAGGGAGGGAGGAGATAGATGACCATGCACCCATCAAGCACAGCACCCAGGTGATGCAGACGCGAAAATTCGACGCTTGGGGTGCAAAAGAGACGTCTAGCTGTTCTGATCTAGATTTGCTTCCCTAAGCTTCGCTTGGGTGAGGCAGCCATAGCTGTGCAGAACAATTAGACGGACAGGTGTTGTTGTATTTGTGCCAACAAAAACCCTTGAAAAGTGGAGTGCAAGGTGTCAAGGGAAAGCTGTTTGACACATCCTCATGTGTCAAAACTGCGGTTGTATGATTGCGTTCAGTCGCCGGCACCAGCCATTTGGCAACTTGACAGACCACCATTCTTCCGCACCATGTCGTGATACCGAGCGCTTGAAGCACGAACGCGCCCAGGCGAGCGCTTTCCAGAACGTGTTTCATCCTTTCAGATGCGAGGAGGTGCTGAAGGTTTTCATCCAACAAACCCAAACTTGGATGACCACGAGACTTGGTGGAGATGCCAGTATTTGCCACTTAGTAAAGATACAACAGTCAAACTGATATTGAAGGGCGGAGATGAAACGTGATTGGGCTTGCAAATGGTCAATCCCAGATTTGTGAGGTTGCAGGAGTGGGGATCTGTTAGATATGCACAGGAGCTGTGGTAAGCTGCTTGGGAGGCAACCACCTCCATGTTGAGAGTCTTCATAAGGTTGCCAATTGAACACCCCACTTGCAGTCTCCCATTTCTGAGAACAAAAACAGTCAGGAGTGTGACTTGACAACGGATCTGGGTGGTGGAAGTTGTGGTGAAACTTTGCTTTGGTTGTTGGAGATGATTGTTGTTCTTGTTTTTGTTTGTTTGTTGGTTGGTTGGTTGGTTTGTTTGTTTGTTTTGTACAGGATGACATGATTCTTGGTGGAAGAACCGCATGTTTCTGATGACGTTTTCTTCAACGAACACTGGTAACATATGGCGAGGTGATTTACTATGATATGATTTTACATGCTCGACCTGCATCACACTCGGGGGACCGCTGCCAGAATCAATTGCCCCGCTGCTGAGGAGATCCATGTGACTTGGCGATGATGATCATAAGATGATCGTTGAGCACATGGGTCCATTCCATTTGCAATGGCACAAGCTGCTAAGGCTTCTAAGGATTACGAAGCAGAACAGTAGCCACAATTCGGATCACCGCGTAGCGCGATGACCATCACGACCCCAGGTGAAATCTTTGGAGACTCTGCGAAGAAGTGTGGAACGAACGCAGGGGCGGAAGCTTCGCAAGGCCCGGAAAGCCACGTGTGCCAATCAGTCAGGAGCGTCATGTGCATGCACCAACCGTTGGTTTAGAGGACTGGTTCTGTTTGTCAAGTTTCATCTCCTACATCCCCTGTTGGAAAAGTCGAAGATGACAGCGAGAAGGTAACATTCATGAGCGCCTGCCGCTGAAAGGCTGTAAACAGCAAAAGGTCCCAAAGCTTTCCAGAAGCTGCTTGGATGAAAATTGGCCAAGGGCGATTGAATGTGCAAAGTCAATGGGGGGGAAGATCATGTGTGCCAGGCTATGAGACAACCACATATGCGAAGGACAAGACATGCCTCAATCTAGCAAAGGCAGCTGGCCTGAAGTTCCCTTCTTCACCATCATACAACGAATAAACAGGAATAGCTTGAAAGGCACCACTCACGGCCTACTTGTTCCACCAGCTTGGATGAAGCTTTTGTAAAAGTTTAGTGTAGTTCTTGGAGCTCACCGTAGCAATCATGCCACGGCTCTTGGCAAGCGTTCTACTTTTTCAGATATTGTAGTTGTAGATTTTTTTTGTAGATGATTCTTGTTTTCATGCCAAGGAGTCTTAGAACCCTCAGGTTGAAGTCAATGGGTGCCACCTAGTTCAGTTCTTCCATCAGATCGTCTTGGCTTCAGCTCAAGCTGTTGCTAAGGTGAAGGCCGCAATCCGGGAAGGAAGATCCGGATCGCGTGCCGTGAGGGCGTGATGGTGAATTCCCACCCCGCTGGTGATCATAGGCCCTGTGGATGAGTTGCATTCATTTGCTAAGGCAACAAGGAGGTGAACACCTCTAGTTCCACATACATAAATATGACTCGTGGAGCATGCAAGGCACAAAATCCAATCAGTTGGCAATGTCTCAAGCAATCCCACATCAACGTTCTTGATGACAAGCATTCAGAATGGCATTCACTTCAATTGGCGTACTCAGTAGTAGCAAGGGCGATACTAGGGGCTCCTGGCATCGCTACTAGGAACAAGGATGCTACTAGGGGCTCCTGGCCTTACTGCTAGGAGCAAGGGCGCTACTAGGAGCTTCTTGAGATTGTTGTATATCAGGCTCTCGGAGGCGCCAGGTGCCAATGGCCAATGGATAGCCCTGGAAACGCCCATTGTTTTTTACCTTGGGGATGAAGACAACTCGTGCCTGACCAACACCCAACAGACATGACACCGTACGTGCGTTCAGAATCGCAGTCATCGCCTAGTTTGTGCAACTGAAGAGGCCCCGTTTTTGGATCCATTTTAAAGTTACACAGAGCCTGTCAAAGCTGAAAAAGTAGGTCTCACGCTAGCAGGGAGGGATGTCAGATGATGTCAGGACCCTGTCACAGTATGTGACTAAGTCCTTGATCTTGAGGTCCAATGTGGACCAGCTCTTGACTTGACTGCCTATCGACAGTCGTAAATTTGCTTGCGGCGCGTGAGAGGCTTCCCACCTACTGATGTGGACCAAGATAGCCGCATGCATGATGGCAAAGGTCTACCCGTGGTGCTGAGATCACCACCAACAACAGGTGTTGGCAATATACACACATATATATATATATATCTATTGTAATGTTGCCTGCCAATGTTGGCGTGAAAGACAGTATGTTTGTCGTAACATCAACTTCCCGTGGGAAGTTCCCAGGGTGTGTGCCGTGTGTGTGCCGGGCTCAAGATTTGAGCCATGCTTGTACACCCCCCGTCCGAAATCGATTCTGTGGGCCGAAATCACTGACTCTCCGTCCAGAAACGGGTACTTGTTGTTTTTTGAGTACCGGCAAGCCATCACCCCCTTGGTGGAGTGGTCACATGGCCCCCACCCTTCGAAACACTGATTTGTTTTGTGTCGTCTCTAAGAGGGGAGGAAGCCTGAGCGCGTCAGTGTGGACCGGATGGCCAGTGGCCATGTACTCAAGCTGCCCTGCACCTTGCAGATTTGACTTTGTTGTCCCAGCAATTAAATTGAACGTCCTTCCACCACCATCAAGGACTAGGGGACATACCAGATGCCCGAAGCTTCAACATGTTCAGTGGCTCAACTGGAAGGAAGGAGTGGCAATCCTACTTAAGATTGTCGACAGCCCAAATTTAAATAAGTTCCTCAACTGTTCGGGAAGTATAGAGACTCCGGTGGTTTGTTGTGGAGGTATTCACAAGGATCCTTTTCCAACACAAACCCCACGGGTTGCTGGGTGATCGCCAGCCGAACTATGATCTTGGTCTCTCATGGATATGAAGAGTTTAATTGTATTTGTGGCTAGCTGTTGATGTTCTATACGTGAGATCGGACTTGCAAGCACCGGCGCAAAGCCTTTCTTTTCATTCCATGGCTGTTGGCGTGTCATTTGGCGCGGATCTACACAAGGACCGCTTGTGTGGCTTTGCAGATTAGTTGCGACAATGTGGCGAGGGGGCTAGTGCACCTCAGCGGCTGAGTGGCATGGATTTGGATGTGGAACAATTTGAAAAGATGATAAACAAGTAATTCTTGTGTCACATGTACAAACAACAGTTCATCGCCCATCCAAGTCAGCTTGTTTGTGCAGCACATGTGCTGCTGCAGCAAACTTGCGCCAAACCCAGAATTGCGTGGCAACTTGCAGAACCTCAGCGGACTCAGCCGGATGAGATCCAGAGGTGTTTGATCCGTTTGTGTAAGATGCCAAATTTGTTTCACTGCTAAGACGCCAAAGGCGGTATACCATGAGCAAGGTCAAATTTGATGCTAGTCATCCTTCACGCTGCAATTTATGAACAAGGTCCTGAATGTGTTTAGATCTGAAATTCAGGTTGTTGACAAAAGACACTGGTGAACACTTGCTCGCAAGGAGTGAGAAGTAAGCTCCTCACAGTCCTTTGTTGGCTGTGAGTTCACGGTGAGTGTCAGTTGAGCCGAGTGAATCTTGAGCATGTCGTCCATAGGGAGACCTTTCAAAGAGCTCCTGGAAGAATCAACATCACCCATTCCAGCCAGTCTCCCTAGTTGAAATCTACGAAGCACGTGCAAACCGCTCCTCTTAGAGCGCGTAGTCCTAAGACGGCTCCCTGTACTCTCCAAATCGATGTCGATGACCACATACCAAGCAATTGCCGAGAAAGAACATGTTTGTGTGTCTGACAGTGACAGGGTAAGGATTTGCACCGAAACAATTCTCTGCACACTCTGTTTGAATGAAACCATTATGCACATCTCATAGCACACCAGCACTTGAGACTGTGTTTGCGGAGTTGTTGGACAAAGAATCTATGTTGGGTACAAAACACGGGGAAATTCATAGTTCATTGTTGAGCCTACGAGTCACCTAGAAGGAGCACCATGCATACAGATGTGTCCACATTGTAGAGAGTGCGGTGCACACGATGTGTTGCAAAGGTTGTACATGTACTTCACTGTGCATCCACTCTGTTTTGATAGCAAGCACCGCCATATGGAGACCACAGGGACTGTATTCTGATAAAGAGCATCCGACAGGTGCAACACCATGCATGTTTGAACACTAATGGGATATGATGTATATAAATGTCCCAGAGATTGGGAGTAGATGAGTAGAGTGCACCACTCACCCATTTGCGACATCTTCGACATACTGTGCACTGACAATGTGATGCGGCCATCTTGTTGCTGTTCATGTTTGTACTTATAGGCACACTATGGATGGGTTCCCATATGGCAGGTACTGGTAGTTGCATCCTACAGTGCTCTAGATCAGGATAAGACTACTGGGTTGTCTACTTTTTGGAACCTCAACGCAGCTTGTCCTCAGCCTTCCGACCAAAGCGAGCTCGACTCTTGACCAGACCGCACGGCGCCTGGAGTCAACACTGCAGCCTTGCAGACTGAGTTTTTGTCCATATCAGGACATCTATCGACCGCCAAGAAGGGCTCACTTGAATGTTCTGCCCGCACACATCCTGTGAACAAAAGGCATGGAAGAAAGGCAAAGGTGCTTTGTGTACAGTTGTGCTTCTTTTCCACGTGCAGTTCTCAGCATGAGCTTGGGCTGATACAGCTGATGCCACCACGCCTGGACAGGCCGCAGGCCGCAAACCGTGACAACAGGTGAAACAAACGGTCTCTATTCTCAACACAAAATGTTGCTGAATCTCGGCCAAGGCTGGGTGCTACTTTGATAAAGGCATGCTACAAGGCAGTCTTCGACAAAGAATGGAATCAAACCAGCAATCCTGGAGAATTTGCTTGTGACACAAATGCCTTGAAAGCAGCCAGGTGCTTTACTTGGTATATTTACTTGGTATGTTTTCTTGACGGAACTACTGCAAGGGAAGAGGTTCTCCCAGGACATGTGTTGAAGGGTCTTGCAGTCTTAGAGCACTTGACCAAGCCTGGTGGCCAAAGATCTCACTTCAAAAGATTATCCTTGATGGGAACCGATTTGCTCAAGATGGGCCAGCTGGCCTCGCTGAAATGGATTTGGAGTGTAGTGTTCTGCGGCCATGCAAGTTTTGTGAGGCGTTGGTCAGTCTGTGCAATTCGGCACTCCGCTTATTTGGGACAGCCGGGCATGGAAATAGCTGTGGGAGAGTTGTTGGATCCAATGGATGATAATGGGACCTGGGACTGCCCATTGTCTAGGCCAATGTGTCTTCCAATCTAGGGGTGTTCCAAGTCGACCATTTCACGAGAAGAGTGGCAAGCATCCCTGGAAGTGCAACTGGGAGGTTGTCAACCAATCTATATATACAGCACACATTTGTTGGGACAAATCATTTGTTTCCCATGGTTTGGCTTTTTGCAATCACAGGTTTCCTGAGACATTTGAGCCGCTTGACGATGGACAGAATCTGGTGATTTTTCCCGGTCCAACAGTTTTCGCGCGGACGAGAGAGAACGAGAGAAAAACTGCACGAGTCCCTGTGGCCTTGGGTTGTCGATTCACGTGTTTCGTGGGAGGAAAGCTGTCCACACCATGAACCGACTCCTTTGTGGCCCTGGGTTGGTAGGTCGGCGTGTTTGGTCACAGGGTCAAGCCAACAAGTTGGTCTCTGGGTGTGTAGAAATGATTCATCTTCAGCCAGGGTCCAACCCATCAACCATGGCGATCGAAGAAACCATCCTTGTTGGAAGATTGTCAGGCCAAGTGATGATGAGCGTCAAGAAGGAGGAGCAGGAGTTTCTGAGGTGAATTTCTGTGAAGGCGCCCCACTGAGGGGTTCTCCAGGTGTTCCTGACCAAGCTTCCATGCTTTGTGTTTTGATGTTGGACAGCTATTGATGCTCCAACATCCTGTTTGAGTTTGAGGTAAAGATACTGTCAACACAACCCGCTCCTCAAACTTGTCTCGTCCTCAAGGCTGCAATGTGAGTTCCCTCTTCCCGCGCTTCCGGCGAGTGCGGCCGGTCCTGGACACACATCGCGGACGCTGTGGGGAGTCGCTCGGAGGAATGATGTCCTGCCGTCGCTTTGTTATCTCCACCTGAACGGTCATAAGATTTTCCGGTTTGGGGTGGTTACGAGGGAAGCAGAGGCGGCTCCACCTTTGCAGTATGCGTGTGCTTCAATTTGGATCACAAGTAGGGTCAAGGTCTTGAAAGTGGCAAGAGCAAGAGATTTCAGGCAATTGACAAGAGTGAAATAGAGCAAACTCTTTGACGAACGAAATCTCTTGCTCTTGCTCTTCTTTCGGCAAAGAGGAACTGAAACTCGTCCCAAGGACCAGGTCGTCTTCATCGCAATACTGAAGTATATTGGTCAATGCTTTGTTGTCCGTCCATGAACATCTGAAGAACTCCAAATCATTTTGCCTTGACGGTTTGTTGAACTTGATGGAAGACTTGAGACCAAGGTGTTTGCGTCATTTGCTTTTGTATTTAATGTATGGTCACCTTGGAGTACTCATGCTGGTGGATCTGGGCCGAAGTCGCTTCAGTTTGTCTTGATGCTCGTTCTTTGTTTTGGTCAATTGGGACCTGTTTCAGGGATGCACTCGGAACCCCACTTGTCAAGCAAATTGCACTCAGTCTACTGTATCTTCAATGCTTGGAGGACTTGAAGGGCTGAATATGTGAATTGTATAAGAAGAAGCAAGTCAATTTGGGTGCTCCCAAAGGACCGCATGCAAACGAGCTGCACTGGCATCACGATTGGTGATTTGACATCACGATCAGGATTGAGACACATACAACAGAACATGGACCCTCCTACAACAACAAGCCTGGACGTGCACTTCGTTTGTTTTGGAGGTTTAGGGATCACAGTGATGAGGGCATGTTTTCCTTTTGGTGGTTAGTTTTTCATCCTTTCGCTTGTTCGAAGCCAATGGCTGGGCCAAGTGGAGTCCATTTCATTGCAGCGAGGTATTCTTGGTTGGCCTTAAGATTCCTTGAGGCGTTGGGATTCCCTGCCAGATGGGTTTCAGCCTCAGAGCGACCGTACAGACGGAGAACACGTCTCACCGGCCACCCAGCAACCGCTGGGATCAGCAAATCTCGATTCTCAGCCCAGCGAACCCATTCCAGTCATCATGACACATGATGTCGCTCGCAACCTGATTTGACCCAAACCAACAGTTCACGCGAATTCAAGGCTTGCATCGATATCAGACCGATTTCCATCGCTTTCCAACATGCCACCTCATGAGACAGGGAGATTGGATTCACTGCAACACCTCACTTTTCTATCGCATTCAGCTTCCCTTGGCCAGGTGGATAATCATGCTGGTCATGCGTGGGTGGAAGCGTGGGTGGAGAATCGCTGCGGTCGCTGGGTGCACATTGATCCCTGCGAAGCTGCGGTGGACGATGCTCGGTCAAAGCACATGGACGATGCTTGGAGCGGAAACCAAATGGAAGTACTGGTAGATTCCTTGGCTGGAAATGTAGACTTGCAGGGTACATGATTGGTTTGAAGCACAAGCGCCCGGTACATGTGCGTAGGGACATGTTAGGAGGAGAGCGATCGCAGGATCGGCAGACCGCGCCTGTGGACAGACTGGTACTCTGTCACATTGTCCACACGATGGGGGATGAATATGCTCATGCCAGCGCTTGCCACATTTTGTTCTCTTGGTCACGCAGTGTTTTCACGTTTCTCACTTGATGCGTTGAGGAGACCTGACTAGTCTTTGGACAGAACTTGAGCTTTTGCCCATATTGTCCTCTCACCGTATCTTGGGCTTGCCATTGAATCTCTCTGAAGCATAAAAGCTGCAAGATTGAACACACTCAGGAACCTCTACTCTATGCAGAGCAGTGGGGGAGGTGTCCTTTACATGTCCTGGCATACCAGGCGATCAAGTGGGCAGAGCAGATGACTGGATTGGGCCAACGGGGAAACATATTATGGCAACGGGGCAATTGGATTGACGTTAGTCTTGGCCAATCTCATTGACTCACACAGGTTGTACATGGAAGGGAGCAACTCTGAGAAAAGATATTCTAGCATCTGAAGTGAGTTCTGAACCTTTATCTCTGATCTCAGCATCTAAACCACAATCAGATGATCAGATGCTGAAGATTCAGGTTATATAACTTTCTAATACCCTTCAACAGCAACAACACACACACACACACCTTTTGCGCATCATTGTAATACTCCAACAGACACGGAAACACCGGCCAGACCACCTCCATGGAGGCACATCGGATCAGCCCAGAAGCGGTCGCCAAGTGACCCAAGCCGAAGCTGAAGCCGACCGCTCACCAAGCCGACCAGCTGAAGATTTCAAGCGCATTGAAGAATCATTGGTGAAACGTGCTATAGAGTGTTGACGACCGCATGCCCACACATGCTCACTGATCCTTCACTCAGTGGTCCTGCAGGGCAAGTGGACGGTTTCTTTTTCAATGAAGCGAGTGGCAAGCTGAACAGCTGGACTTGTTCTGTGCAAAGGCTATTTTGTGTTGACAGTCTCTTGTCTTCCCAAGAACTCTGCACTTTCAATCCACAGCAACTTCACAAGGTGCCGTGGTTACCGTGGTTTCTGTAGATTCTAGACTCATCTTGAAACATCACGTGTTCGAGAGCGCACCTTTACATCATTTTAAATCCATTGTGCCATGACGGCCTTGCAGCCCTGGAAGCTCAACAAGCAGAGATCATTCTGGTTTGTGTGCTTTGCCGCTATGACCGCCAATCACATGCGGTGCTTTTGCGGTTTAAACTCCATTAGGTCCAAGGTCCGTTCTTCAAGGCTACCAAGACCTGTTGGGCAAAAGCTCTTGCATGCCATGCTACGTATCGATGATATTGATGACAGCTTGGACTTCTACGTCTCGAAGCTCGGAATGAAGGTCCTGTCCTGCAATCGTCGCCCCAACGGTGCGGCCACGGCGTTTGTGGCCTTCGGCGACAAGGCGACGAAGCGAGACCTGTCGCGCTTCGCGCTGGAGCTCGCGGCAGCGCCCAAGCGGAAGGATTCGGCGACGGGAAGTGTCGAAGTGGGCAGCTTCGGAGGTCTTTGGATCGCAGGAGATCAGAAAGAGATTGAGATGAAGGATCCAAGTGGATATCCACTCCGCAGAGTTTCGAAGCAACAGGAGCAGTCCATTGTGGCACTGTGCTTAGAAACTGCAGATTTAAGATCAAGCATCTCTTTTTACACGGAGAAACTCGGAATGTCAGTAGCTGAAGACTCTCCAAAGGAGTCAGCAGATGCGGCTTACCTGCAATACTCCTCAGGTCCGCAAACTTACCTGTGTTTGCAACAGGCAGACAAGCCCGTGAATGTGGGATCAGGCTTTGATCATTTGGTTGTATCCACCAATGATGTTCAAGAGGCAGCGGACCAGCTTCAGGACTTGGGTGTGAAACTCACCATGAAGCCTACCGTGATGTTCGGCCTAAAGATTATGGGAATTCAGGATGTGGATGGTTACAAGATCTTCCTGGTCGATGAAGCTGACTTCGCCAAGTCCAATGGATGAGACATGCACGTGCACACCGATCACCCGCGCATGCGTACACCTGTCACCCGCCGGTCACCTGCGGAGTGCGTGTCTTGGCAAAAGCGCTTTGCTCTTGTGTGGTGCTGCCTAGTTGCACAGCTTGAGAGTGAATGCCACCGAGCCAGCTGGTATTTCTTTAGTTGCTTTGCTCTCAGGTCCCTCACCGTCTTGAGTATTGTGTTGGGTAAACAGCAGTTGATATAAATCGCGACCGTCAGCATGTTTGCAGCATGGGTTTGTAAATGGCTTCAGCCCCTCGCACACACAGAGACAGGGGACTGCACTAAAATATGGCTTTCTAATCTATTTCAAGCCTCGGCTTTGGCACTTGTCCCTATGCCAGACTGATCTAGGCTGATTCTGATGTGGAACACAACCAAACATCAACACTTTTGGCTAGAGTCGGTCAACCAACTTCCGGGCACCCACCCTTTCTTTCCTTTTTTGGGTTATGTATGGTTATGTTGCGTGCACTATAGTTGACGTCCTGCGGGTTCTTATGGGTTCTTCCAGCTGCTAGTTGCAGTGGTGTACTTGTACCAAAAGAGATGCATAGACTCTGTCCACTGCGGAGGCAACTGCTGAGTTGGCCGTTTCCGTCGAAGACGTGACGAGCACATATCGCCCGGCAGATGCTGAAGCAGTTCCAGAGGCCACTGAAAGATGTGCATTTTCAGTTTTTAGATTATCAAGCTTAGCAGTGTGAGGTTTCTTTGGGTAGAATCCCTTGGTTGATTGCCCTGGATCAAGGGCGACACTGAAGGAACAAAGCAAACGAGTCACACGAAGCATCGCACACTCTTCGATTGATGGGCAAGCAGAAGAGAACTGAACCGGTGACCTTTGTGCTTCCCAGTCCTTGAACACAAGCATTAAAGATGTCATAAGATCCTCTAATTGTTCCAATCTTTCGCTGCAAGGGTCGGTGGCAATTCCTTGTCCTTTCCGGTCGTGGCAACCGCCGTACAGCCTGCCACCCACTGATATTGCTTGCAGGAGATCTCACAGAAGGTGACGGAAGCCGTGGCCGAAGCGCGCATGAAATTGGATCCTTGGAGCAGTTTCCCCACTCAGAGCTCCTGCATCGACACTCCTCCGGCCCCACATTCGGCGGCTCGTGGAAACAAGGCGTTTTGGCCCAAAGTCCGTCATCGCACGAACTGAGTAACGCTGGCCCCAAAAAGCGGCCGATGCATGCCAATGCCTGTAACGTGTCAAGGTTGAAGCCTCGAAGTCATTGGATTTGGATTCCTGTAGGATCCTGTAGGCGGCATAGTTTGAACCTCGTAGTCCTTCAAGGGAGGATGATCATATGGCAGTGGTTAAGGGCGACTAACAGAACCTCCGTGGGTTTGGACCATCAAGTTGTGATGTCCAATTTGCACTTTTGTGATCTTTTGTGCAAAGCTGTACGATTCTCCTTAACAGTATGCGCTTATCAGTAAAGATGTCAATAGACACCCGAGTTGTTTGTCACGTGGTGCCCCAACAAGAGAATCCCTATAGCTTTGGCGGGTTGATCAGTCTTTCTGGGGAGGACAAACCTACTTCGAGACCCTACCAAGTTTGGAAGAAGGACTACAGTGACTACAGACCAACGACCTGCGAAATATATCAAGTTTTGGTGCGGCAGGCGATCGCTTGAGTTCTGGTTCTGGCGTTGGTTTTTCAGTGCGAAGGGTGAACCAACATGCAAATGGATGGGAGGTTCTCTTCCTCCAGACCGCCTCGGGCTGAGGAAGAGAAGCGAAGGGCAGCTTCGAAGTCCAGCAAAAAAGTGCGACAGAGTCAGCGTTTGGCCAGGCCAAGTTTGGTGGCTTGAGCCAGCCCAAGGAGTCAAGACGTTTGGCCAAGAGGGCGCAGTTCGTTGACCATAGTTCTGGAGCCATGGCCCTCCAAATGTTTGGATGTTTCTTTCGAACTATGTATAAATAGATACTTTGTCTAGATAACCTTTAATCAAGCTAGAATCCAAACACGTGTTTCTGATCTTTGCTATCGCATCTTACCACACAAGTCCACTATCCAGGCAATGGCACATGGGTTCCGGTCCATTTGACGTAGTTCCATCGTGCTTCAATCTCGGTTGTGTGTTAAGACGCATGTGTCTTTTACTTCATCCTAGCAAGAACAGATATGATAAGACGACCTCCAAAACACCGACGAATCCATTGATGCCTTGCAATGGCATCGTTGTTGGTCCCAAAGTTGGACTTCTCACCACGTTTCTTGACGCGGCCGCTCGCATTTGGTCCCATGCGTCACCGGGAACCCGTCCTGCGGGCGTTGGGGTTCCCGGTGAGCTGTGGTCTGGCACTCGGTTGGATGCGCGGTCCAGGTCTGGTAAGGAGACGGTCTAGCGGATCTGTGAAGCAAGGGATGCAAGGGCAAAACGGGCAAAGCTTTCCAACCATTGATTTCCCTGAGAATCTCAGCGGGCGGCAAAAGATTGAGTACGCGCTTTGGTGGGCCTGGCACAAGATGAAGAACCCAAAGCCACCGTCAAAAGAGATCAAGGAGTGTATAGCCTTTTACCACTCATGCTGCTGGCAAGTTGGTAAGAAGAAGTTGTTGGTGGATGCTGCGGGCGGTCATGGTGGAATCGCCTTGGTGTTTCGTGCCTTCCATCGTGTGGAGCGTGCGCTGGTGGTGGACTTGTATGAGCCAAAGAGCTTCAAGAATCTGCGCAGCGCTTGGATGCCTGAAGATGAGGGCACCTCGGAAGCTGTGGACTTCCAAGTTGGAGACATCAGCGAAGCTGGATGGCTAAAGTCCATCTTGCAGACAAGAAACGTTGATCCAAGCGATGTTGTGGTGGTGGCCTGTCATGCCTGCAGCTTACTGTCAGACGAACTGATTGATGAGTGCATTAGTTGCCAAGTGGAATTTGCCATCATGCCATGCTGCCACGGTGGAGACAATCGGCGTAGCAAGATGATGGTGAACACCGGGAAGCTCTTGGAGATTCCTCAAGGAATGGTCATTGACATCGCCAGACTTGGTGTGATCGAAGGAAGTCCAGGCTACAAGGCAACGATGAGATGCATTGATTCGAACATCACGCCACAAAATCGTGTCTTGATAGGGCTTCATGAGACAGCTTCGGACATTGCCAAAAGAGAAGCTGATCGCTCCTTCGCCTTAATGAGGCTTGCTAGGAAGTACCAGCACGTCGGATGGAGGGGCGAAAAGGTCCGCAGCTCATAACACCTTGATGCAAATAATGACAAATCAAAGATGCACCAAAGTGAAATGATAGCACTTATTGTGTGGCCAGTCCATGCCAATGCTCCAGAGATCTTTTGGCCAGAAGGTAGAGCTTTGAGAGCATGCGAAGTCACATAATGGTTTCTATTAGAATTATATAGTTGGGTTGACTGAACTGGATCAACTGACTAGTAGGTGATTTCCTGGATTCAGTCAAGGTCATGGTCGTCTCTCTTTGTTCCCCAATGGAGCGAATAGAGCTTGCGTGAAATGCCCGTGATGAGCGCTTGGTCTTTCTTGGCGTGGCAATTGGGCCACAGGCCTGCAGGGGTTTGCTCATTTCGGTATTTCATCAAGAAATGGGATTTGCATGGACCCACAGTCCCCCCGAAGCCACATTGTGGCTTTGCATTGAAGGAGGTGCAACGAATTTGCAGTGGCTTCATTATTCTTGTTTGCAAGAGGCCTGATCGACCAGAGGATGGCCCACGTCGACAATGAGGCAATGAATTCATGTTGTCCGATGGCAGGCACAAAGAGTTGCCATTGTTTTGGGTTAAAGCCATTCAGACAAGAATTCTGTTCATAGCATTCTAATTGCATGAAATTACATGGGACTCTACATCATTCACGATTTCTACCTATATCCATGAGATGTAAAGGAAATCACCGGCGGCATCTGGCCAAAGTACTTGGGCCTCTCCAAGACGGCTTGACACAAGCTATTCTTGACACATGTTGCCTGCTCTCCAGGGTGATGGCTTCGATTCAGAGGAGGCCGGATGGAACGCGCCCGGAACGCGGCCGGACGACGCGCGTTTCGGGCGCCGCTCTGCAGGACCCTCCAGACGACGAGCACGAGCACGTGGACGTTCCACGGGTGTCGGAGCCGAATGGCCGAAAGCCATCCACGGCTGTGGGGTGCACCCAGTCTTTTTCTTGTGAGGGGTGCCGAAAAAAAATAGGACACATGGTGCAAACTTCCATTGAAAACGCATCAAGACAGAAAAAGTAAGATAAATCAATCATTTAGGAGATTCTCCAGCTTAGCTGAAGCAGATTGATGTTACGAGAGAAGGGTTGGGTTCCATAGAGGATACACTAGAGCCTCATGGTTCAGAAACACCAGCAACATCATTTTTGCGACAGCTGCCCTCTCTTCTCCTGCCACCGCCCTCTTTTCTGGTCCTTTTTATTGCCGAATTGTCTTCAGGAAGACTGGAGTGCATGGCTTCAACCTCAGACACCCTTTCAGAGCGCGTTCCCATGGGATCCCACGGTGAACGAGCTTTCCTCTAGACCATTTCACGTCGGTGAAACCCCGGCGCCTGACCGATCCGAAACTTCAGGAGGTGGGCGGAAGCCTTCTTTTTCAAGGCGTGGGAACAAATTGAACACATGCAGACTGGGCACAGAATCTCTCCTGTCGGAGACAGGACATGTGACATGACTCTTTCCCGCAGAGCTTGTTTCTGGGTCCTGCCGACAAGCTGTTTTTCAACGAGGCCAATTGTACAAAGGCAAAGAGCTCCTTTTGTGTGCTGGTCTCAGCTAACTTTTTGTGTCTCAAACGTGAACGCAAGAAGATGCAAGATGCTGCCAAGGCAATGCAGACGGAGGATTTTTGGCAGAAAAGTGTGGCACTTGGAAAAGTGTGGGTTTTCTTCAAGATTAAGTTGCTTTGAAGTCACGTTCCCTTCGTGATGCGAGGTTCCAGTGCCGGTGTATCTTGGCAGTTCACAGCGTCTTGAGTATTTTTTCCTTGGCATTGGATAGTTTAGCTCAGGGCGTATTGTCCCTCTGGTGAATCGTCGTCTAGGCAATCAGGGAATATACGTATATAATACTTGCTTTCAGGTTCCTTCAGCAAGCCCAAGATACTTGTTCATGGCCAGGCAGTGTGGTAGGCCATGATACTCAGGCTCCTCTCCCTTCAGTGGCCTTTGAAGGACGGAGATTGCATGAGATTGCATAACTCAAAAAGGTCCTTGTGCTTAGCAGTTTGGATGCAGGACCAGCTGACTTGCCGAAGTCAGAAGCCGTTGTGGGAACCTGAGCACAATTTGTTCTGCTCCTTGTGCTCCGAAGATAGAAGCTGGACATGACAATCTTGCCAGGCAATACTTCCACTGAAGAAGAAGAGGCCTGGAAGACGAGCAGATGCGCAATCCACTTCTGAGAGGAAAGGCATTCAGGTGCTAGTCTCACAGCTGAAGCTTGAGGACTAATCCCAAAGTGGTTGTAGGTGAAGATTTCCCAAGAGATGATCTCATCATTGAATCCGTTTTCACCTCTAAGATCGCAGGCCTTCCAGCGAGTCCACAGAGACTGCGAAGTCGAAGGTTGGATGGAGGGGAACCAGACATATTCCTGTTACGCATGGTTTTAAACAAGCGAGGGGGATGGTTCGAAAGACAATTGTTGTACTGATATTGTCGTTATCAATTGTTGCAAGAAAGGACCCTACTAGGGATCTTTCGATTGTCGCAGTTTGGCTTCGAGATATCCCTCGACATTCGAACATGGACGCCAGATGCGTTTTTGTTGGATGCCATGTGAGTGATCCAGAATCTAGAGACCGCTTTTTTTTTGCATTTTTTCCCACTTTCCTGAGCATCTCTTGAAGAGCTTTTATATGCTTCATGATGCTTCTATCGTGTTTGTCCGCGCAACGCTTTGTGCGCCAAGTTGCCTGGCCATGGTTCGCAGATCCTCTTCTCGGGCGAGTTCTTTCCACCCCTGGGTGGTCTGCGGTGTCGTTTGTTTCGCGGTCGGATTTGTTTGCTTGGACTTCGTGAACGGCCGTGGACGAAGCCCAGACCGATCAGCACGACGGGCATCCGGACCATCACTGCTACCTCCGGAGGTGCCTCCAGAGTCTCGTTGGGATTTGTGGCCTGCACTTCCTGTGGCTCCATATGAACGACGCCGAACGATACTAGCAGAGTATATCCCAGGAAAGCTCTGGGGACTTGAGCAGAAGCTGGGCTTGCTTTACGTGCATGTGCCCATTCGCATGACAGTTCTTCGATTAGAAGCTGGAGGCCTCTTGGTCTATGGTGCAGTGGCACCAACTGGCGAGTGTATCTCCATTCTGCGTGGTTTAGAAGCGTCCTATGGCACGGTGCGTTTCTTGATCCTTCCCACCGTGGCGGTAGAGCACAAGACCTTTGCTGGACCTTTGGCGCGGCAGCTTCCAGAGGCTGAAGTCTGGTATGCGCCCGGTCAATATTCTGTACCTTTTCCGCTGCCGCTGGAATTCCTCGGCTTTCCCTTAACGCGCCTTCGTGAACTGCCCAAAACGAGTGAGGGCGCGGATTTGCCATGGGGCTCTGAGCTTGAACACAAGGTGGGAGAAAGGAAAAACCAAACAGCGGCCTGAAACACATGAGACTATTTATTGACCTTAGCAGTCAAATGTGTCAAATGAGTGGCATTTTCCTCATTTGACTTGACACAATCAACTGGTAGTGATCTACCTGCATTCTTTTAGACTCACACAAGTCTTTGTCTGTCTTCTTTGGGAGTCAACGTCTTTTGGACGAATGCCACTGCCGATCCTTCCCCTTAGGTGCTCGGCCCAGTGGGGAAGGATCCCTCCACCGGCGCCTTTTGCGAGGTCGCCTTCTATGTGCCGCGGCTCCGTTTGTTGCTGCTGACAGATTTGTTGATCTCAATTCCAGCGTCGCCGCCAGCCATCTTGCAAGAAGATCCCAGGCAGATGAGTCAAAGCATGGTGAATGCCGAAGATCCAAAAACCATGGGGTCCGGCATTACATTTGGTTCAGCTCAATACTTTAATCCTATTCTAAAGGCGTGTCAACCCACAAATAGACCAACGATAGATCTACTTTTGTGGGTTGAATGTGTCAGACATGCATCTTCTGGGGGGGGGGGGCATCTTTTACTTGCCGGCAGACCATCTGCCGGCCAGTCGGGCCGCTGGGTTCTCCAGGCCGTTGCTGTTCCATGCAAGAGACGGTCCACTGGAGCCTTTGGAGTCAGATGTGAGGGCTTTGCAGCGGGGATGGCAGAGGATTGTGATCTTCTCGCTCTTCTTCCAGTCTGGGGCGATTGATGTGCAAAGCATCGGTGAAGCAATTCAGGATGCCCAGAAGTCCAAAGCCCCGGAACTCGGTTGGGGTGGTCTTCTGCCCTGGAACTACCGGGAAGACTGGCAAGAGGCCTTTGAGGCGGTGTCTGGGGGTGTTTTGGTTCCACCAATCCTACAGGCCTTAGTCCTCAATCGTGGAGAACGCGATGCCAAAGCCTTGCGAGACTTCGTAGATGCTGTGAGCGCCTGGCCCTTCGAACGGATGCAATCCTTACATTTCGATGGACTTACAGCTTGCACACCAAGCGACTGGAGGTCTGCCTTCCGCCGATTCCTGGATGAGCCTCTGCTGCCTTTTGGAACCTCGGGCCCCAAGCCACGAGAAGTGGAAGCACAGCTGATTGGTCAATCCGTTTTGGGGACGTTTCTTTTGTTTGCGTGTGTAAAACCCACATAGTCTTGGTCTTGCGACATTGGAGACAGCGAATTGTGTAGTGAATCAAAGTCAGCGTTGTTTGTATAGGGAAATAGGTTGTGTTTTGATATATCATTTTGTTGATTTTGTTGTACTTACATGTGCGGAGGTGAGAGGAGTTCGTTTTGCGTCCTTTATTGCGGAGAAAAGTGTCAAGTGTATTTTCTGGGTCGCTTCTTTTTGTTGTAAACAAGGGTGTTTGTAGATGTTCAAGGCTCCTGACACATACATGTGCAATACAGACATAATAGTTGTACAATGATTTCTATGTTGAGGAACTGGCACAGGATACTGTGATGCAATGAATATTTTGAACTGGTCATCAATTTGAGTTTGAGACATTATCTTTGTAGTCCGAACTGTTCAGTCACTGTCTTTCTTTCCCAGGGCATGTGCTCAAATTGTCAAATCATCACAAACACATTCCTAATTCCCAAAGCAGGTATGCAGGCAAGCTGCACCGTTTTGTAAGTCTTGATGTGCACGGTGGGAAATAAGGGGAAGGGCAATAGTCAGGGCCACTAGAACGGTGCCTCCATTTGTTGTACCAAATCCGCACCATGATGATCTTCTTCGGGAATGCCCGTCGGGTGAGTGAGTTCACGGCGGTTCCCGACTGGTCGTCGGTTCCACTGGGTCCCCAAGGACTTGGAATTCTTGCGCGGCTTTGGACGTCAACTTCAGGCAGGTGGCATCATCGATCCTTTGTTAGAAAAACGTCAGAGCCTTGTGTGAAGTGCTTCGCGCTCGGCATGACGAGACCTCGAGTGCGGAACAAAAAGGCAAAGTGCCAGGATCATCCGGGCCGAACCGATATGGTTTCGACATGCTGTTTGGGCTCACCGCCCTGCTTTTGTCGATCGTGCACAAACCAGAAACTGCGCACCTCGGCTGTCGAAAAGACCTCTGGGTGAAAGTGGGTGCAGACCATGTCATGTGGTAAGCCAGGCACAAGGCATACCTTCCCAAACCAACAGGTTTGTCAAAGACACTTGCTGCTTTCAGGCCGACTTTCTGGAGCAGCATCGCCCCTCCTTTGAGAAAGAGGCTGAGCACAAAAAAATACTCACAGCCTCATTTTTCATTCCTCCCTCCTGCTAATTCTGTGTGTATCCATGTGTCTTCTGTCTTTCCCACTAGGTTGCTTCTACCTTGGCGCGGACCCAGGCGGTCGTCATGTCTTGGTGGTTGAAGGTCGCTCGCCAGCCGCGGCGACGGACGCGACGGACGCGAGGCGGCCTCGCCGCTGAACCAAGGGACGCTCAAGTTCTATCCGCACCTTGGCCCAAGACAGCGCCGCGCGGCGGTCCGATCGTCCGCTCTCGTGGGTGGAGTGCATGGGAGGATACAAGGATACAAGGATTTGATCGAAGAGTGTCTTAGCAGCTTAGCATGTCTTAGCATCTTTGGAATCAAGCTTGTTTTGAAGTGATAGCGGTCGTGAAAGACAGGCATATCGGAGATGATCTCACCGAGGCAACCTTCTGATGATCGTTCATCGCGATCAGCCAAACTGGCTCGCTTAGTGTTTGGTAACGTGTAAACAGCTTCACTGTCAAAAGGGAGCTCTCCGATGAGCGTGCCACCAACGATCAGAAGCAGCAAAAGAAAGATCGAGTGGCGGGGAACAGTTTGGAAAGTCCCTTCGTTGCTTTGGCTGGTTCTGGCATGTCACCAAGACTGATTCAACATGCACCCCGAGGCTTGTTTGCTTACTCAATCTACTAGGGTGCTCGTGGGGGTCCTTTGTCTTGACACATCCAATCTGAAGACTGCCCTGTATGATTTTTCACTGAACGAAAGCAGATGCAGGTGGATGTCATTGAGCATGGATACGAGGTGCAGATACTCGGTCCAGCCCTAACGTGTTCTTTCCATTTGGCTGGCAAGAAGATGAAAGACGATGGTCTGGAAATCAAGATTCTCTGTTGTGCCACAAATGAAACACATCCATCCCAAATAGCAAATGGTCAGGATGCCATGTTTGATGCCATTCCGTGGTTCTGTCAACACCCATGACACTAAGAGAATCGTCTACCTGGGTGTATCTACCATACTACCAGTATACTACGTATACCATGTTTTGGGGGTGTTTGCTTTTGGGATTCTCCGCGTGCCTTTTCCATTCCCCTCCGCTGGTGGGACTCGGAGGTGCTCATCGTTCGGAGGGAACCGTCTCCGACCCCCAAGCGGCCAGCTCAGCGGTCCGTCCCGGTCGGTCTCTTCCGGTCGCGCACGGAGCGTTCACCTGAGGTGTCCGTCGGATATGTTGCAATCACCCGGGAGTGAACATTCAGGAGCTTGGCAGGGGTGGAGGCCATCGCTAGTGGGAGGCCATCGCGACTAGGATCCTTTGTGTGGTAAGCGCGACTGCAACGTCGCAGTGCGGTTCCTCTACTTGGCATACGACTCCAACGTCGGGTTGAGCCGGAGTGTCCTGTCACAGGAGAGCTCCTGATCCCGGTGGGTGCATCGCCAGTGGCGAGTGGGTAGCTGATTTGCTTGCGAGGTCGTGTTCTTTGTTGGAGAATGCCTACGCTGCAAGTGAAAGTCATAGACTGACTCATAAAATGTCAGACCTAGAAGATCCTTTCGGCAAACATGCTTGCCTTTTTTTCGGGAAAAGTGGCTCTTCTGATCCTGAGGCGGAAATGAACAATTTTGCCGCGGAAATGTTTTTACTGCCGCAAATTTTCAGAAATGTTCCCTTTCAGGAATCTAGTGAGACAAAGAGTATATTCAAGAGGCTTTGAACATCATTTTTGGTTTGCATCAGGCATTTCTTACTGAAATGGTCACCTCAATGAGAAAAATACAGTAAGAATGGCGACACTCAAGTTTCCACCTCCACATGCAAATCTGGCTACCGTCATATCATATCACACATATATATATATATATACACAATGTGTGTCTTTGCATTTGAAGGTTTCTTGTGCGGAATGAACACACAGTGTAAAAGCACTCCCAAGTGGAAGGTGCAAAACTGTGTGGGAAAAAGGCAGGAAACAGGCATAAATTCCCGGGAAACATGTGGTAATACCCAGGAAAAGGTGGACATTTCCTGGCAAAAGGCGGAATTCAATAACAGTGCTTTCGAAGGGCTTGAACATATCTGTTGCAGCCTTTTTGTGAACTTCATGAATCAAGAAGTGTCAACATCGGCATTGGTGGGGGGAGGGTGCGAGATCTTGAGATGCGAAACTATGTCCTTGCGGAACGATATGCGGCATGCAATCATGGAAGAGACAGCCTGGCCAGTGTTAGGCAGGCAGTGGTGATGGCTTTGGGAAGGCTAAGTTGAATTTTGGCCGCGAAAATACCTCCGGATTGCCCTAAATCTGCGAATTCCCCCGGGCAAATTGGACCGAAACATCAATTTTTGTTCCAGGTGCTTCTAGTTATGCATCCATTTGCTGCATATTGATTTTGAGGGAGTACCGCGAGACAAGCGCAAGCACAGAAGCCCTCCTCAAGCGCCTCTCAACATGTGGTCCGAGGTCCTGCAGAAGCAAAGGAGGTGGCAGCCTCAAGAGATATCCTTATTCAGCTTTATCATGTGTTATGTTTTGTCAAGTCTTGTCATATTTCGACACATCCAAAGATAGCTCTGCAGCGCTTGCAAGGTATCACCATCACTCTCAGACGCATCTATTTAGCTCAGCCAGTCAATGCACTGGACGTTTCACCACACCGCGTGTGCTGGGTCGGGGAAAGATCAGAGGGATACGATTCCTGCAGTGTCAACCTGGGAGTTGACGGGGGATTGGAGGTCATCCATTGGCGTTTTAGACATGGTGCTGACAGAGTGATACATGTGATACAACATAGACTTGGTATCTTTTGCTGGGTTCAAATACGTGGGACAAATTCAGATTCCTCCACACTCGGCCAGCGAAGACCCTGATGGATGAATAGAATGGTGTCATGTAAAATTTGTGTCGTATTTGTTGATTCAGCATCATGCCATGATGACTCATGTTGATTCGTCAAAAAGGATGCAGAGCATACCTTTGAGAGAGTTAATGTGATGATTTTCCGACGGAAAAGGCGGCGAAAGAAGTGCGGAGGTTGAATTGACACAGAGAACTTTTTTGGCCAAGCTGTTGAATTCCATGCAGGCAAAGCTTTGGCTTCTGGATCTTGAGATGTTGATTGTTTGCCAAAACAGTTCAGCTCGACTGGCCATTGTTTGGAGAAGGAGTCTGAACCAGTTGTTCTTCCATGTTTACAGAGGGATGTTCTTTTGAGCCGGATCGAACCACTGACCCCACGCCGACTCCCGGCAGGCCTCATCCGGCCGCAGCCTTTTATCTGGTCGACGCATCCCTTCAGCTGGTGGAGCCCTTGTGGGCCTTGCTCAGCAGCCCATCCTTCAAGGTGCCGGGCGCAAGACAGGTCGAAGTCTGTTCAGATGTTTATCATGCCGAGATTGATGCTGCAGAACGAGATGCACACAGATTCTCTTGGAGCGCTTGAGGTTGCGAAAACCCTTTTGTTGCCGAATGAAGGCTTTTGTAACTCAAGCATGACAGGTCGCACGGTTGCGCATAGGAAAACATATGATGCCCATCACAGCGAACCGTTGATCGTCGATTATTCACAGTGGTATGGTCAGTTGCCAAAACGCTAACAAACTGAACAACAGCTACATCAATTCCTAAGTGCCCATTCTTAGCAAGAAGAGGAACACTCAACATAGAAACTCCAGAGATCTTTGGCCTGTAAGGGCTTCTTTTGCCATGGACAGCTGAGAACATGGATCATTCCTTGCCTCAGCTAGTTGCGGAAGTCTCCGAGCTTCTGCGAAACAGCAGATCAATGGAGAACAAAAGGGAGACTGACCTGTATATTTTTGTGCTGATTTTACAACTTGTTTAAAGCACCTTTTTGTCACTGTTTCGACTCTGCACTCTTACTCCCATCTGGACTTTTTGCACATTTGGGTGGCCAATCCTCTGACCCACGGCCCAACTTAGGAGACAATTTTTGAACTTCTTCGAAGAGCCTGCTTAAAGTCGGCCAAGGAGGAGAGTCTTGAGGTTCCCTCCATCACGGAGGCTGGCATCGAAGATGTTTGGCTTTTCTTACTGAAGCTTCGCAAGACCAGCCCCGTGCGAAAGCGCCGCGTGGACGAGTGTTTGAATGCCTTGATTGCTTCGGAGAGGTGGACAGGAGTACTCCACCAATCGTCCAGGCTGCTGGAGGTGCTGATGGAGTCAGATCCTGAAGTTCAAAGCAAACTGAGCCCAGAAAGCGTGACAAGAGCGAGGTCGACATCTCAAACCGAAACACTTGATCCGCCAGGCATTGTAGAGCCGGAGAAGGTGCCGATGTCAACATCAGTGCCTGGACCACAAGGAGGAGCGATGAATCCCTTCGGTCCGGCGAAAGCCAAGGCCTCGAATCCCTTCGCGAGGTTCGAGAAGATGAGCCCCAAGGCTCGTGAGGGAAGCATGGCCTTCTCTGCAGCCTTTGAGGAGAAGGACAGGACTGAGACCAAGGTGATGGGCGAAGTGGAGAAAACGAACGGAGAAAACGATCGCTTGGCCAATGGAGAGCCTGGTTCTCAGACTCAGACTCAATTCCTCAACATGGCAAAGGGTGCGTGCTCAGCTGCCGGCCAGGGTGCCATGACAGCTGCCAAAAAGACCATGGAGTTTGAGCAGAAGCACCACTTGACCCAAAGAGCTGCTCAAGCTACAATGTCATCAGTGGAAGCAGTGAGGGAAGCGAACCAAAAGTATGGAGTGACCCAGAAGATAGGACAAGGCGTTTCCACAGCGGTCACCAGGACGAAGGAATTTGAGCAAGAACATCAAGTCAGCTCGCGAGCCATGAATGCGGCCCGAGCTTCTGTCGCTGCTGCTCGTGATGTGAACCAGAAGTATGGAGTGACTGAGAAGATCGGACAGGGAGCTTCTGCTGCATATTCCAAGGCTACAACTGTGGCCTCAGGTCTGAAGAGTGGAAGCGCGTCGAAGAATCCATTTGCAAGCGCACCTCAAGCACCTGCTGTCCCAGCAAACTCTGGCAATCCTTTTAGAAGCTGAAGTCGGATTGCCAGAGTTGGAAAAAAGGAACTGACTAGTTGCCACTACTAGCCTTTCCAGCCAATTTCGAGACTCTATGCTTTTTGGACCACTGGTTTCACTTTCTCCATCCTTTCGTTTCAGATTCGGTTGCCCAAGGTGCTGCTGGACCATCTCCAACGGATCCGCTCGGAAGGCCTCCATGGTGTTTCCTTGGAGCAGAAGGTCATATTGGCCGCATAGGACTCCAAGCAACTGCTGTCCTAACATGTTTGATACACGCGTGTGCATGCGTGTGACTTGAACATATTTTGCTGCCCTGTTGAACCTTGCATGAAGAGGGACAAGCAATCGGAGATATATATAATTCATATATTTCGACATTTAAACAGAAACGCGACCGGAGTTGATTTTCTTTGCAAGAAAACTCTTTAACAGGACACTGTGAGCATGAGGGTGAACCAGAAGCGGCCGATGCTGTGTCTCTTGGAGTGAACGTTTGTGTTTGGTCACCGATCCACGTCACAAGAAAGAACAAACGATTGGTGGGCTCCCAGGACCTTCTGGCATGGGCTCTTGTAGGTCTGCCTTGTCGTTTTTTGCCATGTGCGTCTTCCTTTTCTTCACGGCTGTGAAACCAAAAGGTATTGCACCAACTGTCAACTGTCCGTGTTTTTTTTGCCGGAGCCTGGTGCCACTCCAAGGCTTGCAGACGGACGTCCGAAACAAGTGCGTGGAGAAGCTGGTCTCTGTTCTGGCTGCAGCTCTTCGGGTGTGATCAAGGCCCGATGTGCAACGACTTGCCCAGTTGGGAAGGGAAGTGGGATGCAAGATTTCCTAAGGCCAAGGGACTGCCCTTCGTTGATCAAGCACTCAGGGATTTTGGTGCCTTATTGAAACTTGCATGACTTGTTCTCACCACTGGAAAAAACAGACCTTTACACCCCGCCAGAAATTGAGATAGTTGAGATGCACCGAGTTCAGGAGTTATATGCATCCCAAGCATTTCCTCATGACGCTACGAACGGAGCAAAGGGCATCGCTACTAGGAGCAAGGACGCTACTAGGGGCTCCTGGCCTTACTAGTAACAAGAAGCCATTAGAAACAAAGAATTAAACTTCATTAGAATTTAATATGAATCATTATAGCTATAACAACTTAGTTTAAGCTCCTTTGAGGAGCTTAGTTGCTTCAGTTTGGGAGAGAGCATGGGCATCATTCTTTTGCTTGGTCAGCTGTTGCAAATGGCATTCAGGGCGCACGATTGTGCTGAACGTCGATCAGGATTCTTGTGTTCCCGGAAAGCGATTCAGCATGTGGGGAATTAAGATGATTTGTATCATTCAACTGGATTGAGCTAGTCGATACTGCCATTGCAAAAGCAACCAATAGGCAGCCATTACCAACGGTCTTTGCAGCTTTGGCCTGAAGGGATTTCTCCTGGCTTAGTTCGGCTTGGTTGGCACATGGTGACCTACCATGAAGCGCTCTGCGTGACCTTCTGCCTTCTAAACCTGGCTTGCAGCCTGGCTGACTCATGCAAGGCTTGAGGGGATTCATGGTATGAGCTTAAGCTTGACTGGTGTCGTTTGTTTTTGATGCTGGTCGTACTCAAACAACATGTGTGCATTCTAAAACACTATTCATGTTTGCATATTTTTGCATTTGTTGGCTTACCTTAAATTCCGGCAAGGCCGAAAGATGTAGAAGGAAGATGAACTGAAACTCTGACGAATCCAGTTGTAAGTTCTTAACGAGTCATTCAGTTTACTTTAAATTTGCAAAGCCTTGCGTTGCGCCTTCTTGGTTCTTTGCGTGTTTCTTCGAATGCAGGCTGAGAAATGCCTTGCGGTTTCTGAGGAGGACACAGATACAGCATGGTTGCAGATCAACAAAAGCTCTAGGCTGGTCTCAGAGAAGGCTCTCAGTTGTGATCCTGAAGACCTTGCTTGCGAAGCCAAGGAGTTAGCCTGCAGCCTGAGGTACTTGATGGAACGGGATTGGCCGACTCGAAGCTACCCTATCCACCCAGAGTTGGATAAGATCGTGTTTCAATTGAGCACTGTTTGTGAAGGTGGTAATGTTAGCTTGGCACTCGCCAATGTCGACCGCATTCGCGAACCGAGTGATGCGAAACCTTCAGCTTCAGCTTCATCCTGCAGTCCTGCTGATAGTTGCACTACCAACGTGGTCGAGTATCAGAAACAACATCCGGGTGCAGCTTACGGGATGAGCGCGGGGCGGATTGCAGCCTCTACAGCCATTTCAACCATCAATGACATTCTCCGGTCAACGAAAGTCATGGGAGTGGCAGGCAGTGTAGCCTTCACTCTCATGAATGGATTCCTTGGAGCCTTCTTTCCTAGTGCAGGAGGCCTGCCAACCAACCCATGCACCTATGCCACAAAGAACTGGGGAAGATGTGTTTGGGAACAGGTGAAGCCCTTTGTGGAGGAGTTTGTTGACCTGAAGATCGACCAAACCTTTGAAGAGCTGTGGGAAGCAACGATTAAAGGCTACCAGAACCGGTTATGGGCTCTGAATGCAACTGCATACAGAGACTCCACGCATTTTAACAATGGCACAATCAAACATATGCCTTACAAGGTTAGGAAGAGGATGTTTGCGGACATGTACCAAGTTCACAATCAAATGGTTGGCGACATGAGTCTTTTTCTGACCAATCATTCGCTGCAAACCACTGCTGGCGCGTATCTCTCCCAGTTTGCCTCTTTGCACATCAGTGTGATGACAAATCTTCTAGGTAGCTCAACCTACCAGACGAAAGGCAATCTCTATGTCTTCGGGACCTATTCAATGTGCTATGCCAAGTACGTTTACAACCGCTCAACTGAGGCTTTCAAAGCACGCATGTCATCTCTGGGAAGCAAGACAGTTGATGAAGGTACTCAAAAGTGCTGCAACCTTTTTCCTTATGGTCCAGGTCCTGATTGCGTGATGTGCCCCAAGGGCTATGGAGAGTTTTGGGACAATTGGCGTGAATGCAGCTGGGAGAAGCTACAGTACGGACTGGGTTGCGCACCATTGACGGCCGCTTGCGGTAGTGACCCGGTTGCCATATTTTCAATGACCCAGTGCTTTACCAACCACCGCAATGAGGTTGAGAAACAGGCTGTGGCTTTTTGGCAGAGCTGGCTCGCACCGATCCCAATGTGGTTGAACAATGTGATGCTCATGCAGAAGATTGAGGTGAAAGTGAGAAAGCAGGCCTTTCGAATGTCCCAATTCACCTGCCCTGTTTGATAATGTTTCGATTGTCAAGTTGACCACTTAGTCAAAAACAACATTGTGGTTCAGGGTATGTGATTTTCCATGATTTCCGACCAATGCAGATGGCCGGGGAATCTGAATCAGGAATACCGAGACTGCGAAAACTGGCCAACAGAGTCAGTCTTTCTCGAGATCATTGCCAAAAAGTGGCTGTTTGCTCAGCTGTTGTTGCCGTTTGTTTTTCTACCCGAAAAGAACGACTTGGTGTGTCTTCTGGTAGTTAATCCTCTGCTGGAGCACACTCCAAGGTTGTGAATAAACTTGTTGCGATCATCTTTGGACCGATAGTCGATAGTGTTCTTGTTTGGCTACCCCAGCGTGCACACACGCTGAACAGTTCGACAACCGATGTCAAGTCCTTTTGAGCCATCAAATATACACAGAAAGGGGGTCGAGCCCTTTCAGGTCATAGTTCGAACATGTCATTCTGAAAGATCTCAGATTCGTCCCAGATCTTCACGGAAGCAATGCCAGCAATGCCTCTGGAGAGCCCTTCGCTGCTCTCGATGCAGCAAGAAGTGTTTGGCAGATCCAAATGTGCAAACAGCAGCTGATTCTACATTTCGTACATTTGCATGCATCACAAAGGCCACAAGGTATCACAACGTCGTACAATTTACACAGAATGTGAGTGTTGCGGCTCATTGATTGCTTGACTCGGCTGTTTTTGATTCGATCAAGACTGAGCCGGCCCAGGTCTAATCTCACCAATCCACTTAAGGCAGATGAGGCTCAGACTTGTGTTTTTTTTGCACTTCCAGCCTGTAAACGTGAAAGCGATCTTGAGGATGTGAACGTGACATTAACTTCAAGTGGACTTTCCTGCTGAGAAGAGCTCCAACGTATGCATTCAACCTTGCTGTGATACTCTCCGCCATTATTCTACCTTTTTTGGTTGGACCACCGATAGGAGATGGAGTCGGATGCCTTTTGCCTCTCTTTGCAACCAACCCAGGCTGGACGCGCTTTTTACCAATTATCATCTGAGTCATTGGATAGGACACGCGGAGCGTCGAAGGTTTCCAAACCGAAGACCCAAAGGTGTCGCATGGTCTACCCTGCCCGCACATTTTCCAGACCCTTTGCCCCCCAAAAAGAAAAGAGGCTGAGAACCCAAAGTCCAAGAATTTGATCGAAGACACCGAAGACACCTGTATAGCATCTTTGGAAGCACCTTTGTTAAATTGATCGTCTGATAGTGGTCTTGAAAAAACAGACATGAATCGGAGATTCTCTCACCGGCGAGGCAACCTTCTCATTCATTGCGATCAGCCAAGCTGGCTCGCTTATAGTGTCTAGTAACGGGCAAATAGCTTCACTGTCAAAAGTGGGAGCTCTCCGATGAGCGTGCCACCGACCATCAGAATCCTGGCAAACCCTTCGCTGCTTTGGCTGGTTATGGTGTGTCTCCAAGGCTGATTCAACATGTGGATTCCCTTCACCCCGACGAGGGTGCTTGTGGGGGTCCTTTGTGTTGCCACATCCATTTGAAGACTGCCCTGACCGAAGTTTTTCACTTTAAATGAAAGCCAGGTGGATGTCATTGAGCTACGAGGTGCGGATTCTCGGTCCAGGGTGGAACGATGAAGGCGACGGTCTGTCTTGTCCCCGCTAGCGTCCCCGGGCTTCGTTCATATGCCTTCACCACGCCTGTCTCGCGGGAAATCGTTGCAGAGTCGGTCAGTTCACGTGAGATGCCTCCGGTGCAACTGAACGTCATAGATGTCACATGCGTTAATTTGCTGCATATTGAGTATCGCGAGACAATTGGAAACTTAAGGAACCCTGTTCAAGCGCTTCTCAAGATGTGATCTGGTTCTTTCGAGGTCCTGCAGAAGCAAAAGAGGTGGCAGCCTCAAGAGATCCCTTTCCGTGCAAGGCCTCGATCAATGTTCTTCACTGGCCTTGCGAACCACATGTTGTTTTCTCTTTTTGATCCGGTAACATGGTGCCTGACTAACATGGATTCAACATTTGAAGGAAACGCGTTGTTTGGGGATTCAGGTCGTAGGACACTCGTCACTCGACGAGGACTCGTAGGACTGGGTCCCAAAGGTCGTAGCTCTCATGGTCGTAGCTTTGGCCTGAAGGGCATGAAGGGATTTCTCCTGGCTTAGTTCGGCTTCGTTGGCACATGGTGACCTACCATGAAGCGCTCTGCGTGACCTTCTGCCTTCTAAACCTGGCTTGCAGCCTGGCTGACTCATGCAAGGCTTGAGGGGATGCATGGTATGAGCTTAAGCTTGACTGGCGTCGTTTGTTTTTTTTGTTCTTCCGCGTTTGTTTTTGATGCCGGTCATACTCAAACAACATGTCAATGTGCCCATTCTAAAACAATATTCATTTTTGCATATGCTTGCCTTTGTTGGCTTACCTTAAATTCCGGCAAGGCCGAAAGATGTAGAAGGAAGATGAACTGAAACTCTGACCAATCCAATTCAGTTTACTTTAAATATGCGAAGCCTTGCGTTGCGCCTTCTTGGTTCTTTGTGTGTTTCTTCGAATGCAGGCTGAGAAATACCTTGCGGTTTCTGAGGAGGACACAGATACTGCATGGTTGCAGATCAACAAAAGCTCTAGGTTGGTCTCAGAGAAGGCTCTCAGTTGCGATCCTGAAGACCTTGCTTGCGAAGCCAAGGAGTTGGCCTGCAGCCTGAAGGAGACGATGGAAAAGGATTGGCCCACTCCAAGCCACTACCCTATTCACCCAGAGTTGGATGAGATCTATTCTCAGTTGAGAACCGTTTGTGAAGGTGGCCATCTTAGCTTGGGAGTCATCAATGTGGACCTCATTCGCGAATCGAGTGATGCAACAGCTTCTGCTTCAGCTTCATCCTGCAGTCCTCCTGCTAGTTGCACTACCAACGTGGTCGAGTATCAGAAACAACATCCGGGTGCGGCCTACGGGATGAGCGCGGGGCGGATTGCGGCCTCTACAGCCATCTCAACCATCAATGACATTCTCCGGTCGACGCAAGTCATGGGAGTGGCAGGCAGTGTAGCCTTCACTCTCATGAATGGATTCCTTGGGGCCTTCTTCCCTAGTGCAGGAGGCCTGCCAACCAACCCATGCACCTATGCCACTGAGAACTGGGGAAGATGTGTTTGGGAACAGGTGAAGCCCTTTGTGGAGGAGTTTGTTGACCTGAAGATCGACCAAACCTTTGAAGAGCTGTGGGAAGCAACGATTAAAGGCTACCAGAACCGTTTATGGGCTTTGAATGCAACTGCATACAGAGACTCCACGCATTTTGATAATGGCACAATCAAAGATATGCCTGACAAGGTCAGGACGAGGATGTTTGAGGACATATACCAAGTTCACAATCAAATGGTTGGCGACATGAGTCTTTTTCTGACCAATCATTCGCTGCAAACCACTGCTGGTGCGTATCTCTCCCAGTTTGCCTCTTTGCACATCAGTGTGATGACAAATCTTCTAGGTAGCTCAACCTACCAGACGAAAGGCAATCTCTATGTCTTCGGGACCTATTCAATGTGCTATGCCAAGTACGTTTACAACCGCTCAACTGAGGCTTTCAAAGCACGCATGTCATCTCTGGGAAGCAAGACCGTTGATGAAGGCACTCAACAGTGCTGCAAGCCCTTTCCATATGGTCCAGGTCCTAATTGCGTGACTTGCCCCAAGGGCTATGGAGAGTTTTGGGACAATTGGCGTGAATGCAGCTGGGAGAAGCTACAGTACGGACTGGGTTGCGCACCATTGACGGCCGCTTGCGGTAGTGACCCGGTTGCCATATTTTCAATGACCCAGTGCTTTACCAACCACCGCAATGAGGTTGAGAAACAGGCTGTGGCTTTTTGGCAGAGCTGGCTCGCACCGATCCCAATGTGGTTGAACAATGTGATGCTCATGCAGAAAATTGAGGTGAAAGTGAGAAAGCAGGCCTTTCGAGTGTCCCAATTCACCTGCCCTGTTTGATCATGTTTTGATTGTGAAGTTGACCACTTAATCGATCACGCCCAAGACATTGTCAAAAACAACATTGTGGTTCAGGGTATGTGATTTTCCATGATTTCCGACCAATGCAGATGGCCGGGGAATCTGAATCAGGAATACCGAGACCGCGAAAACTGGCCAACAGAGTCAGTCTTTCTCGAGATCATTGCCCAAAAGTGGCTGTTTGCTCAGCTGTTGTTGCTGTTAGCATGCGAAGCCACCATAGTGCGGCACTGATTGAACTTGTGCAAACCTAGCGGGATGCTTTGCATTTGCATCCCAGGCCTTTTTCAGCTTGCTCAGCAAATCATTCTTTGTTACGCAGATTATCGCGATACATCGAGATAGTATGAATAATATGTTTTTAATACATTTGAGAATACTATAAATAGTTTGTTGGCACATGTCGTCTTTTCAGGAGAGCTCGTGAGCTGTGCGCTCGCTGGGGCGGTGGCCGGATGCAGCACATCACGGGAGAAAATGACCGAATGAAGTGTTTCCATGTGTTTGAGAAGGGTCAGTGGATTGATGCAAGATCTGAAAGTGAATTTGTGAGATGATACATGTTTCGTGACCCGCAGCTGCAACCCAAGTAGATTCTGCAGTAGAGGACACCTTAGGTGTGAAATAGCCAGTTGTCGGACTCTCAGCTTCGGGTGGGGCATGATGTCAGGACTCTCTTTTTGCCAGAAAGCAGGAAGAACCATTGACCAGTTTTGTCAAATCAGAGATAAGAAAGGATATCCAAGACGCGTGGACACCCCCCCTCTATTTTCTAAGAACCACAATCAATTCTCTTGTTTTCTGGGCTCCAAAAGATGGGCAACACTTGAGGATTTTCCTGAGTAGATGCTTTGAAGGACTCTATCTATCAGCTAAGGAAGACATCGGCAGTTTCTTGTCACATGAAAGCAGCCACCATCATCTTTTCCGTGCTTTTGTGCTTTCTCCGCAATCCTCCAAATCTCTGCTTGAACACCTTTCAAACATGATCAACATTGTGTCTTGTCTTCAAGATTGTACCCAACTATGAGTACATGGCATCCCTTTCTTATATAGCTGTCCACTGAATTCGTGGGGTTATGCAGTGGGGGATTGGGAAGGTTTGACATCCTGGTAACTTAGGTCAATGAAGACCGCGTTCTCAAGGGAATAAAAGGATGTTTTCCAGCAAAGCAACACTTTCTGGCTTTTCTCCCAATTCCGATCCATCCCTCTTCTTTCCACACAGAACACCAACGGCCGGCGGGAGGATCATGGGATGGGCCACGTGGGAAAATCCGCCGACTGAGGCGTCCAGCCGCTCCGGTGGCCCATTTTTTTCGGAGCCGCTGTGAAGCCCGCCATGGTCTGATGCCTCAGTCAGACGTTTTCGCAGGGCAAAGCCACTTCTTTGTGAGCCGGCGTTTCAAGATGTGCAGAGAGCTGTCATGCATAAGCCTGCGAGTTGTCATATACTGTACAAGATCTATATTGCAATATTTCAAGATGTTGAACAACCATTTCAACCCCTTCATGAAGTGGGTGCTGCCAACAGTTTGTCGAATGATATTTAGTTCGTTCGACTACTTCAGGCTTCTGGACAAATTCAGTCATCATAGGGGTTAGATAGTTGAGCCTTACAAAACATCATTATTATGGACCAACATCAAACAACCAAGCAACTGTGTAGCTTGCAATCTTGCCTTGAGCTCCACGTTTTCCATTGTAGGAAGCCACTGATGGTGTCGATCCATTTGTATCAATGGCTACTGAAGACAGATCATCGCACATCCGCACAAAATCTGTTAAACAACACCCACGGATGTCCACGGATCATCACCAAGACATCGAGATCCACGGCGACATCGAACGGAAAAAAACAAACGACGTATTCGCGACCTCCTGTTGGTCCAAAATCGGAAGCGACATCATGACAGATCCGGTAGTGGTTGGGGGCGCCACCATTCTCTCTAGTCCAATGGACATACCCCATTTGCAAGGTCACCAGTTCACCCATGCAGGGTCAACATGTTGTTTGCGCATGGAATTGGTCCGACAGTCGATTTGAATGCTTTGCCATCTCGCTAGCCAGCATTGGACAGCCCCTTTGCTTGAGTAGCCACCAAGAGGGCGGCATGTACTTGTTGCCTTTCCGGACATCGCAAACTTTCTGCTCGATCTTCGGTTCCGCCTAGGCGCACTCAAAGGCTGGTGTGGTGATCAAGAATACATTCTTGGAGGCCTAGCTTTCAGAGATGAGAGAGGGCTGTTTGCCCGGCTGAGCTGTTTTTGGATGGGACTATCGGATAGGCGATCTCATGGGCGCCTGGCGGCTGTCGTTGGTTCAACCAAGGTCGGAGATCACATACCATCTCTCCATGATTGGCTCCAGTCTCAGTGACAGGGATGATGTGCCGAGCGTACACTCAATACGTGTAGTTTAGATAGTCAAGACGAACCTGCCATATAGTTCAGTGTCTCCCTGCCTTTTGGCTTGTTGGATGCTTTGTAAAGGGCTGTTTGAGGAGAAAATCGTAGGATTTATAGATCATCAGCACAGGGCAGGTTGGAACAGGTTAAGGCAGGTTCCTGTTGACCTGTTGCTTTGAGGCGACGGCAGCTGTCAGAGCCCGCCATGACCTCGACTGCCCTGAATGTCCTTCCTGCGTGCGCATGTCGGAAGCGCCAACCAGCCAAGGTAAAGATCTACACCAGTCCAAATGAGGCAGACGAGGCTCAGACTGGAAGAGCTTCGCTTCCATTCGCAAGTGGAAGAGCTTCGCTTTTCACCGCCAGCCCCGGTAGGAGGATCAAGATGAGAGTGCCGAGGTCGCTCCGGCAGCCCTGGTAGCGTAAGAACCACGAATTCACTTCAGCGTTCATAGAGACAGTGCTTTGTGATGCATTTCAGGATGAAAGGAGAAAAGCCACACATATTGCAGAGAGAGAGAGAGCTTTATACATACGTTTCCAATCGATTCATGCACAACTGTGCTAGATTCTCCCAGTTCTAGGTTCCACAAGAGCTCTTTTTTAGGCGCTCTTCTTGTTCTCGCGACCGAGGTTCCTGAGGAGATGCCCCCCTTGCCTTTCTCGATGGCTCCACCCTCCACTTCCTCGACCAATCCTGGGCCCCTCGGAGACGACGTGCGGCCAATCAGGAGCTGTTGATTTCCACAAGACTCAGGTCCGCTTGGAATAGAGGTGACCAGGTCCGATGGATCTGCCCAAAAGACTCCTTCGGTATGACCTGTTCACTGTGGTGTCCGCCCCGTCTTGTGAAAGAAAGGAGCAGAGAGGAGCTAATGATCGGGAGTTCTTTAACGTTTACATTGGTTTACCATTCTTGTGTGTTCTTGTCTATCTTCAGATCCTTTCAGCTTTGGAACGACTCAAGCGCTCCTGTCAGCACCTGTCCGACTGGAGCCACAATTCCGTGCCTGACCAGCCTGACCGGTGATTCAGTAAATCCTGAGGCCACAGGTGACGGCCGTACCGCCCGGTGCCATTCCTCAATCACCTGGCTTTGATGCAGGGTACCAAGATGTGTCAAGTGGATCTTCTAGGAGGTTGAGATGTGGAAGGTTGTTGAGGGTCCTGCCACTCACTGCCTTGTCATGATGCTGATCAGGCTTCACCTCCACCCTACGTGCCTCGACAGGCCAGTTGTTCCACTGTGTGCTCGCCGAGTGTGTTATTGGATGAGAAACATACACTTTGGAGGTGCGAGAACAAGGCAAGGTGTCCCGAAGCGGTCAGGCATCACCCCCAGCTCGTGCAGACATGAACCCAAATCTGTTGACTGTCACTCGACTTGGCTTTGGCATTAGCCTACATGACCTCAAATGGGATGACCGAGCGAAGCTCGCTCCATCTTCCCGCCACTATCCGCCACTAAGGGCATCAACGCCTTGAAAAATAACGACATCACCAGCAAGGACGAGCCTGTTGACCTCCAGAGACTGTTCCACCGAGTCTTTCCGCGGATCGCGAGCCGCCGGGGGTGCAGGAGCCGCCTTGGAATGATGTCACCACCGTGATGATGCGGAACCTGCCGAACAAGTGTGCATCTCAAGAGATTCTTTGTGTTTGTTTTTGTTTTTTGATGTTTTTTGTGTGGGGAGGGGGGGGCAACTTCAGTTCAAGGCTAGACTGTGAAGAATGGCAAAGTAGCTGGTGTACGTCTATCTAAGCGTTGGGACGAAGAAGAACCCCTCGCATGGTCGATCGGGTTCCCGATCTTTCGGGAAGAGCCCCCCTGGCGCCGCGACCGTTGGCGACCGCGCGGATGGGCGGTTCCACCCGTTTCGTTTTGACGTGCGGCCGGTCGATTCGGCGTAAGCTGCTCGTCCGCTCAGGTATCGACAACAAATGCTGCTGGATGAGCTGGCTGATGCGGGCTTTCGAGTGCAGGCGGTACGGTACGCGGAGATGCGCGGTGTTTTGTTTTGCATCACATGGGCTTCCTGGACCCGAGATCTTTAGAGTCTCTCCATGTTTGATTGCCATACACGTGTTACAATATAGGGAGACCTTCCAAAGGCCCCTTGGAAGAAGGAAGATAGACCAAAGGCCATTGGTTGGCGGTCTCCCGATTTAAATACACACCCAAATCAAGGGGAAGTGCACTAGAACTCATTCACTCATCAACTAGACTCATCAACTTATCCATATCCTTATTGACTCATACAACCCTGCAAGCTCCGTCAGTCCGACTTCGACTTTTTCTACTTACCGATGGACCACAGCAGCTTGGCAGATGAAGAGAGCCCCTCCCCAAGTCTTGGGATCCTCATTTTTGGTACTGAGGCAACGCTGCAAATCTTGGCTATTGTCCGCATCTGGGGAAGGAGTCAGCACTTTGCAAAAACAAAGCATGAACGTGTAGGGCAGATCTTAGTCTTTGATTCTGACATCTTGTTTGATGGGCAGATCGTGTCTGTCTTTCAACATCGGCAAACCGAGCCCAGTTGCTTTCCCCAAGCCGACCCGGGCTGCTGATGCACCGACGGGCGTTGCAACGCCGCTCAGGTTTTATCAACTTCACCGAGCCTGCGCTGGCCAACTCTTTTGCCGCCTCCTTCCAAGGTGGGCCAGTTCAAATTCCCTGATCGTGCGGGCGCAACGGCACGGACGAGTAGAGATGGAACGGCAAGAGGTGGAGCTGGGATTGGAGTGTTGGAAGTTTGCTGATGTTCAGGTTTTGGAGGGTGGAACATGGATAAAAGATGAGCTGGGATACCAACAAAGACGATGCTGAAACCGGATCACGCATGACGCAGTCGCTGAAGGGCTATGCCCTAAGTCTTTGCTGATTGTGCCAGGTAAGAAGATGCGCCGCTTCAATTCCCACAAAACCGTTGTGGCAGCGGCCTCATAAGAGTTGCCTCGGCGCCGCCGAACGAAAGGCGCCGCCGAACTCGGCCGTAGTAGCAGTAGCAGTGCAGCAGTGTAGCAGTGTAGCAGTGTAGTAGGAGTAGGAGTAGGAGTAGGAATAGGAGTAGCAGTAGCAGTAGCAGTGCAGCAGTGTAGTAGTAGTAGTAGTAGTAGTAGTAGTAGTAGTAGCCGCGCAGTTGCGGAGCTGCAGTCGGTCTGAGGTGATGCCTGCATCTATTCAAGGATATGACAGGAACTACAAGTGCGCCGGTGATTCCTTCGTGGGATGGGTCAACTGTCACGAGGACTCCAGAAAATAGATGAAGTCAGGGCGGCCTGGGCATTTGAATGATCCCAGGGATTTGACACTGGCTTGGAGGCAGGATCCTAGATTCCTTTCAAGTCATAGATGAACGTCACCCCTGTGGCAGGTACTATTCTTCCACTAGAGTTGCGCAGGCAGAGGAGCTTGAGACGAAGTGTTCAACTTCATGCAGGTTTGTACTATAAGCGACGGAGGTAAAGAATGGCTTAATTTGGCTTAACTGTTTGCCTTTGCTTTCTCTCTTCGGCATGACTTGTATTGTTTGAGGACCCAGCTTACCGACCTTTGTTCTTGAGACACCCTGATCCAGATGCACAGGCAGCGTGCCTCAGTGCTGCTGTTACTTGTTGCTTGTGGGTTATTTGAGTTATCTGAGCACTCAGGACAAGAAGGGTGGCGGTCGAGGTGGAGAGATGTCGCTGATTTGTTTGGCATTTGCAAACTCCTAGATGATGCTGACTCGTGTCTCAGAAAGCAGACCTCCAAACATCCTTCAAACTGGCGTCAGAGATGATCAGCCATCAAGGACTTGTGATCTTCAGACCTCCCCAGGCTTGTGTGTATTAATATAGGGAGATCTTCAATCTTCCGACCGCCTGGAAGAAGGACAATAGACCAAAAGCCATTTGGCCAGGGTGTCTCCCTCTCCCTCTTGAAATACACACCCGCATCTCGCCAATTTTCGATGCCACGGTTGATCCTTCGATGCGCTTTTCGATGCGCTTCCTTCGAGGCAAAGGTGGAGATCGCATGAAAGGAGGGAAGAAGGGTGGCCCGAAGGCGTGGGGGAGACGGAGTGAGACGGAGATCGAAGATGGAAAAAGAACGAAGACGGAAAAGGAACGAGACGGTTTTCCTGGATCTGTTGCGAACGGATGACTTTGCGATCAGGGAAACTCCAAAGGAGCTCAGGATGGGAAGGGCGTAGAGGCGGGAGAAAAAAGATGAACCATTTGCTTTAGAAAGAATTTGTAGTTACTAGGAGCTAGCTTCTAGCTACTAGTAGCGATGCCCTTGTTATTAGTAGCTTCTAGCTACTCTAGTATCTTGTTCTTGGTATATTTTTTAAATCCCGCCCATCACTGCGCCCTTGCAAGGCTTTCTCATGCCTGGCCTTCATGGGCTTGGAAGAATCTGGCCCACAGGTCTGAAGTCAGGGTGTAGATAGGTCCAGCATTCAGAAGATAGAGATGCATGGCTGTCTCACTGTCACTTTGTGTCTGAACAGAAAGGACCCTGAAGAGAATAGAGCAAAAGCAATTTCAGAAAACAGATGACAAATTACGTAGAATGTGTTCCCAATAAATATAACGTATTCTAGTTGGCTTCAACGTGCTTTGACCGACCTTTGAAGACCTTTCCCAACGCTCTGAGATGCGCAGGGCGATTGGTCGATGGGAGCGGAACAGATGCCCTGGCAGCCACAGCCCATGATGCCAGCAGCTCAGGGTGGCTATCTCCCACAACTATCCCGACATGCACAGCTAAGCCTTTGAAGCTTGGAGCTATTGTTGTGACAGCTGGAAAATGAAGAATCATGAAAGGCGAGAGTGGCATTTCCGAAGGGAAGAATGACATTGCTGCGAAAGCTCTCTGAAAGACCAACATAAGAAGATGTGTCCCATAAAAGGCAAAAGTTCACGAAAGATCTGCAAAAGCTTCTGATGTTGGAGAGTGCAGAGCTTGTGTATAGGAGTGTTTGGAAACAACTGTCCGAGATTCCTTCGGACAACGGGTCCTGCGAGACTTAAATCGAGACGCTAGTTTCACATTGATTCCAAGAAAGACCCGTGCCACTTCTTATGCCTGCATCACCCCAAGGTCAGCGGGATTCCCTGGCTGTGGCGGCCCCGGCGGCCCCTGCGGAAGGAGTGGGAATACCTTGACCTGCACTGGCCTCAGACCTGGGAAGCGATCTTCATCGCAAAGAAGACGAGCTTTCTTTGACCGATTCAATCTCGGAAGCCAGACCACTCTGCTAAATCCTGCTGTATAGGCTTTCAGAAATTGATACAGGGAGGTGGATCAAAAATTTGGGCCTCTTAAGCCTTTTTAGACTATATGACTATATATATGATAAGCAATTCTGATGGTGCGAAAAGGTATCTATCATGGGCTTCGACCCATGAGCCATGTCAGCCAAGGCCACAACTGTGGTAACGTTTGCTCAGCTGAGCACAGGCAGGGACATTTTCCTGTCAACCATCGCTCGGGCGGGTCGCTCGGGTGTTTTCGGGTCCATGCTCGGCCGAGGTTCTGCTCGGCGTGCGGAGCTCCGGCCAGGATCCTGAGACAGCTTTAGACAATATCACCCACATTTGGCTCGTGTTTATACAGTAAGGAACTCTGATTCTCTATATAAGCACAAGTCAGACAACGTCACAGTATTACCCCACACTGACTGACGACCACCACTCGAGACCCCCACGTGTTAGACATCCTTAGACCCACGACCGAGCCGGTCGGTTGACCGAGCCGTTCGGTGAACCGGTCCTTCGGTGCTCAGGTGGTGGTGAAGAGTGGTAGCGCAGGCGTCGGCGTACGGTGGGTTCGGTGGCTGGACGGAAGGGTCAGTTCGGTGGCAGCGACCATGGAATTCAGAGTCCACAAAACTCCACATGACATGACATATCATAGCGACCGTGCCATGTCAAGTTTTCTGAATCATCTGATGCCACGAAAAAACTACAGCGGCTCCAGGTGGCTCCCCGCCCAACATGGGCCAGAAAGGCGGCTGCGCAGGCAGAGACGGATCCGACGGACACGTCGTGAGCTGTTCCGTTCCTTTCGAGCTGGATCTGCCCATCCGAATCACGGTGGGAATTGTCGGACTTTTGATCAATCTTTTCATTAGTATCTTAGTCTTCTCTTGGAGCTGGATCTGCAGGACCACCCATGAATGGCATGATGGGCTGCCCCATCATGATGGGCTGCGGAGGCTGCGGAGGCTGCGGACCCTGTGGACCTTGCGGCTGTGTCTTGGCCGGAGCATCCCCCACGGTGTCCGTCGCGGGCCGATGGGACCGAGTCACCGAGGTGCCATGAACATGCGGGCCGATGCGCCAACCTTCATGCCGTACATGGAGGCAGAGGAGAGACATGGAGAGTAGGGAGAGTAGGCTCCAAGCTTCGGTTTCGATCGTGGTTTCTTGACATCCCTGGATTCCGGAGGATTTGAGCTTTGCGAAGATTCACGAATCATTGAGTCGCTTTGTGCACCCGCTCTTCGCCGGGCTCCGCCGGTTTGTTAGGAGCAAGAGAGCCACAGCCACACCCCACAGCCTGCTCAGGCAGTGTGTCTTCGGATATCAAGAAGATTGATGATGTGATGATGTGACTGATGTGTGTTTCAATTAGGAGACCTCTTCACACCCACCTGCTGAAAGGGGGAATCTGTGAACATTACAGAATCTATCAGAATCTTATGAACTCCCCGTCCAGACCATCCCAAATAGCCCAATATGATCCCATTGTTCAGGTCATGAAACCAGTTTTGGAGCGACCTCAGATTCATCATGACACACCGTCAAACTTTACGGAAGACTACACAAGTAAAGAGAGGGACACAGCTAAAACACAGATATGACACTCACCAAATCCTGAGGAAGTCTTGATTTAACAAGTCAATCAGTTTGGACCGTGGCTCCTATCACTCTTCGGTACTCTTCATCCCCAGTTCACCGACACGGTGAGCAACGAACTGGATGTGATGCGTGGACGCCGGGGCCCCAGTGGAGCATCCTGTCGGCCGGAGAGGACTTCCATTGAAGCCACCACAAGGGGTTAAGGTGCGTTTCCATGAGTTTCCCTCATTTTGAGACAAATTGAGACAAACCCATCCTCATCCATATATTTATACAATATTATACAATGTCCTTTTTCAGAAGCCCTGACTTGAGAAGTTTCTGCGAGTGAGTCGTCATGAGGTTTGATGCTCATTGCCGCATTGAAGGAGACGGGTCTCGGTCGACTGGGTCGTGTGAACGGACACAGTCGGAGGCGGCCTCCGGAGAGGCCTCTCCGCCGTGGGTTTTCAGGATATCGAGCAAAGAGACTCCGACAATGCACGCGAAAAAGATGGACATGTGGCTGGCTTCTCAGCGTTTTTTGCGGCCCAACATTTGTGGATGAGAGAGAGAGAGAGAAAAACAAACACAGGCAGACTGAAGACATTGCTCAGACTTCTGCTTGAGTTAATAATTATTTGGTGCTTCGTCATTTTCTGGTGCTTCACGGTTACAGAAAGGTTCACGCCGAGTCGGCTTGAGTCGTACGCAAGGCTTGGTTGGCCTGAAGCAACAAGAACACTGGCGCGCTTTGCAAATCCGTGGCGGCATGAGCCGGAGTTTTGGGTGGGTATCAGAGTATGGAGACTCTCAACCGGGTTTAGTCTGTTTCCCTTTGCCCCGGGAGTCGTTGGGGCCTGTTAAGAAGAATGCCTTGCAGGAGTTCCCGGACACTTGCTTCCTTGCTGGCTGGCCACAAATCAAGCCAGTGCTGCCAGGATTTCTAAGAAGGCCCACGTCGTACGTTTCAGAGGTCCCCGACTCAGACGTTCACCCAGAAATGCATGTCTGACATTGCGTTTGCCCAGCAAACTGGCTTTTCAACATGCTGAAGCCGTCATCCACCGCATTGGCGGCGCCTTCGCCTGCCGCATTGAGGCGAGGGAAAGAACCTTGCTGGAAATGCTGAAACTTACAGTCAGCTCCCTGACAGATTGGTGTTTGAAAGCCAGCACCAAATGATTCAAATGACCAGCACCAAACAACATGTTCATTGTTGTGGACAGCAGTCTACTGCACTTCAGGTGAGGCTCTACGTCTGGCAAAGACTAAATCTCTGTACTTTGTGCCGCAGACTGCCAGCAGAGCAGAAGGTTCATGGCCAGCCCTAAAAGGGTATTGGCGCGCTGCCCGTGCGGTCCTGTCGCACGGAGCGAGCGTTTTTGATGCGGATCATTGAAGAGCATGTCAGACAGGTCTACGAGTCTACCATTATCAACCATTTACTACCCTTTTGGATCCTGGACATGAACCTCCTTTTCAACAGGGTCGCGCTTTGTTCAAAGGGCGTGTGCTCCACGGGCACTTGTGTCGCTATGCATTGTCAAAGTTCCAGCGGCTCACAAGGAGTTACTCTGATGAAGTTGGAAGGGTTCCTTCTTTGGACACTTTCTTTTCATATGTTGCGCACATGCCATTCGCAGAAACTCGGAGTCAATATCAGTTCATAGCGATCATGTTTGGGTGTTAAGCTGTGGGCTTTTCGAGGACCCGTGGACACCGGGGGCAACGCGGCAACGCCCGTGCACCATGGGTGTTGCTTCCGCCGTCGCCACGCGTTTTCACGTGCTTTGAACAACCGAGTTGGTCTCACAGAGGCTGACTGAGGCCCCCCAAAAAGCCAGGTCGAAGGAGGTACAGGCCACAGTTGAGCAGTGGCCAAAACCACCAATACATGCCATACAGGTCCAAAGACCTGTATATAATCAATGATCTGGTAAATGATTGGACATGGATTCGAATGCAGTTCTTGTTTGCCGGGTTTTGGCTGAGGCTCCGCTGTTGGTCTTCGTTTCTGAATTTCTTGGCACACTGTTTTGTTTGAAACACTTGCCATGGAGCTGTACCCAGTCAACAAGCATTGTCGCTTTTGGTTCGATGGCCAATCCACCTCTTTGACCTTTGCCATGTGTGCGGTCGACTTTCTCCAAATTCTCCGCATTCACTCTAGCATTCAGCGGCGCGTTCGCACGTTTCTACTATGAAAAATGCTCCCGACCGTCTGGGGTGACACACCAAGACCGAAACATCGCTTCGCTCGGTCTGCGCTGCCCCCCAAGCCTGAGAAACGTTGAAGAGACGGCGTTTCCTCCATTTTTGTCATGGTCACACTTAGGATAACCAAAAGAAGCCATGACGTGCCGGGCAACCGGTGATTTCAACATATTTCAACCATGGCTCCTATTAGTTCGACCTATATTTCGACCGTATGATGAGATAAAACCCCAGATATTGGCGGTTGCATCCAGGTTGCAAATGCCAGAATCAGGGAAACGGTGCATTGATGAAAACCCATGAAAGCCTCATGTTTGCATATTCACTGCCACTTGGAGAAGTGGTACAATTTGGAGTTGGCCCAGTCACAGATCTGTTTCCTCATCACAGAATCGCTCACCTTGAATGGTCACCCCGACAGAGGGAGCTCAATTTCCCGGGACTTTTGAATGCCAAACAATGATTTGCCCAGCCTGGAGAGATTTTAAGATCTCCAATCAGCGACTTTCCATCTCCCTGTGAAAGTAAGGCCAGGATCAGTCGGGTCACCACCAGAGTGCCAAACAACATACAATCAAAATATTTTAGTCAGTGTGAAGAAGAGAGTTTGCGACAGACAAGACTGAAAAAGAAAGAACGCAACAATTGGGTCCTGAGGAGTTTTTTGGTTACCCGCACCTGCGACATCAGGGAGTTGTTTTGGTCTACAGCAGTTGAACTGCTGTAGCGCAAGGAGTTCACCGATGTGTGAGTTCGTCTTCGTCTTAGGCAAGGCAACGATAGACGCTGTGAGTGGACCCTGTCAGCAACATCTCCAAGGGTCTCAGTGAAAAAGAAAGGCCCCGGTTGAATAGCTTTAGAAAGAAGAACTCCCTTCTTCAAGCAAGCTCGACCCTTGAACGGGCTTCTTTGGGACACTCACTATCAGCTTGCAGAGTTTTTGAAACAAAAGCTGAAACCAAAGATGTCAGGCTGCGCTGAACATAGATTCATTCATTTCAGTTCTTGACATCTTTCTGGACAGTGGTTTTGGGCAGCTTGAATGCAGAGAGAACGAGGAGAGTTGCAGGCGACCATTTGCGCAACAGCTGGGAAAAAAGGGCAGTTGTGCTGAATCCAAAGATCCATGCCACACATATCTATACCATGCCTTAAAGAAACTCAGCATACACTTCGCAAGTGTGCCTTTGCTGAGTGGTGTTTGCTGGGCTCGGGTTGGCTTTGGGGCTCGACAGGTTCCACATGCAGAAGCAGGTGTAAACATATAGATGTAGCGGAAGGACACTGTTTTCTTGTTTGCATAGAACATTTAGAAACCATTCATCAGCTCAGCCCAAAAAACATCCCAGCTGGACATCTGCGGGATGGCGACCAAATTGACTGGACCCCGTGTTCCGTTGGGAGCTTGGGGAAGTCTGCGCACCAAACTTCAGTGGTGTCCTTTTCTCCGGTTCCCTTTGATCAACCTGCCTTCATATTCAATGAAACGCTGGCCAAAAGCACCGACAACTTTCTACAGATTCACTGTGATTTATTCCCAAATCTCACATGTCAACGTAGTTTTGGAGGAATCCTGCAGATCCCCAGATCCCATCAGATCTCTCCAAGCTGAGGCCCAAAGGCTCCCGTCAGCTGAAACCACCAGGCAGGGAGGATGGAGGTCCGTCGTGGAAAGGAAGATCGTTCTTGGTGGATGCTGGTGAAGAACATGCTATTAAATAGTGTATTAAATATATGTATGATCCCCAACCCTATACTAGCCCTATACATGTCGACATCAATCATGGTCTTGATGACAAGATCATGAAAGACTCATCCTTGCGTGCCTTTGATTCTGGACCTGTTTGGACCTTTCCTGTTTTGAACCCTTCAGGTGTCCCAGGCCCACCGGGCCCGCCCAACGGGTCTTCGCCTCGACCAGGCGAGGCGCGCTCCTCGGCGCCCCGGGTGTCCCAGGTGCAACGACAGGTGGACGAGGCCGGGCCTCGTCTTCGTCGAACACCGTTTTCGACGTCCAAAGCACCAGGGTCGATGAGGAACACAGGTGGAACGATGTTGAAAGCAAGCTTTTTGGCATATCAAAGGAAGGTTCATGAAGCTTTCCGAACGGGTGAACTATGGGGATTTGTGGGGCTTCTCCACCTGGGCCCATCCTTTGGGGCCGGTTTCAGGTGGTTTTGACACTCGGTCTTTGAAGACCTGGCCTTGGACGGTGAGGTGAAATCCCTGGAGAAGCGCGCTGGCGACTTGGTTCGTCCCGCCTGGCGACTTGAAACGTTGCGGACCGCGCGGACCGCTCCATGGTGGAGAATCGTGGGAACTGAACGGTGCGGGGAGTGACCGGTGCGTTTGCGGCGCTTGTGCCGCGCCAGGTAGTAATGACCTGAGAGGTGCTTTGCAAGTGTTTGGGACTCAGCTTTGATGCAGAGATTGCCAGTGATTGTGCCAAAAGAATCCAAAAGATGCACTTAATGTGTCAAAAGTAACTTTTGGCATCCATGAGATACACGTGTATGCACTGAGTGATGCAACATGTAAGATCACGTGCGATATGCCAAGCATATCCAAGCATTGCCAAGCAACATTTGCAGCAAGCATTTGCTGTGGCTTGGCATGCTGCTTTCGCTCCTAGGTATGAGGAATGCAAGGCACTCGTCCAAGATGCTCTTGAAGGCCTTCCGAAGGTGCAACGTGTTCTGTGCAAGTTCTGACTGTGGATGCGAATCCAAACTATTTGAGCTTATGAAAGGGTCGCATTAAACTTCAGAATGAGCCAGGACGACATTTGCTACTCCACACTGGTAGACAGCAAGCACAGCGTGGAAGAGAAGATTTCAAAGTGCAAGCCGCTTTCTTAGCTGCGTCAGTGCTAAGAGGTAGAGATGTCCATCAACGTAGTAATTAAGAAATAGATGGCAGCAATTGTTGACAGGCAGTTTCTGCCATTCGAGTACTTCCTGAAAGCGCCGAAGTGAAGCAGGTCTTTGACATCATTCTTCCATGCCTGATCATTCGCAAAGAATTGGCGACACTGGAGATGTTGGGTGAAAAGAGAGAGCACACGTGTCGATCCAAAGCGAGAGCACGAAAGCCCACCTCACACATCGTCTTTAGGTTTCTTTACGGTGATTCCTGCGAACACTTGACGGGTATTTTGGTCGGCATGATGCCTATGTATGCCTATATATAACCATATGTACTACTATATAGACTCATCAAGTTTGCTCTTGTATGTTGATGGGGTTTTGGAGTTGATTTCACTGTGATTTGTTTTGGGAGCTTTCCTTGGAAAAACCTCTCGTGTTTCTGCCTCAATGCGCTATGCTTTGCTTCTCAATGCCTTGGAGAGGATCCAGCGCATAACTAATTCGCCCATGAAGGGGACAAAGCCTCCTCTGGGTCCAGAGAGTGGTGGCACCTTCCTGGCAGCCTTCGAGTATTCGGACAAGCTCAACCAACAGGTGCTGAGTTTGGAGGCAGACAACGTAGAACTTCAAGATGGCAAGAAGTTGCTGGAGGCAGAGAATCAGGCCTTGAAGGCTGGGTCGGTGCCTGGCTTTGGCGGCTTTTGGTCCTTTTCGGAAAAGTGGATTGGAAAGGGGTAGATAATGCTTGCGATGGTATCAGCGGTATGTCATGTCATGTGATGTGATGCATGCGTTATTTATTTATTTGCTTGTTTGTAACGCTGTTTGAACTGTTTGTTTGAACACCAGAATAAACTTTAAGTTTTGGACTCTAGGATCGTTTTGGACTCTAGTTTTTGGGTTGCTCAGTCCACGGACTGCAAAACCCGAGGGGAAGATTGCAGAGTTGCAGCTGCAGTGTGAAAAGCTGAGAGACACCTCCATCCATACGCACCAAGACAAAGAGGCTGCAATCCTTCAAGCACGTGAAGCTTTACAGTCCAAGCAGGCTGAAGTGATGTTGGCACGGAAAGCTGAGGAAGATGTGAAGCAGCAAGTGGAAGCAATTTCGGAGGAGAACTTGCGCTTAAGTGGGATTGCAGAGAAATTGCAAGGAGAGCGTTCTCAACTGCACCGGACTTGCCTGGGATTGGAGGCAAGCATCAAGTCATGTCAGACGGAACTGGGCCAAAGGGCCAAGGCCGAGCAAGATGGCTTGAAATTACGAAATGCCTTGGAGCTTCGCTTGAACGACCTCTCCTTGCAGAACTTGGGCTTGCAATGATATTCAAGGTTTATATATATATATATATACAACCAGGTTTTCCTTCCTGACTGTCTAGCCATTCTCAATTTCTATTCGTTCATCAGAGTTAACCCGGCAGGTTAGCTGCCGTTTCCTGCGTTCTTAAAAGCTTTCTTTCACCCATCAAGGAACAAGCGCCTCTCTGACATGGCCGGCTTCTACCGAGCCGACCTTGCGCAGCTGCAAGAGCTCCGGGAGGAGGTCTTGAAGGAACGCCACAAGAGCACGCGTTTAGCCGAAGACCTGGAGCATTCTCGGCGGGATGTGGTTTGGCTTCGAAGCTAGGCAGGTTCTTTTGGTGAATTTTCTGTGATGTATTTTCTTTTTCCAGAGCATAGCCTTTTTTGCGGCGAAGTGAACCTGTGTAAATTTAGATATTGCAATGTTGTACTTGTTGTACGGTATACCTTGGTAACCTTGATAGTGCTAAACAGTGTTCTTCGATCCTCTTAAGCGGTTCCTTCTTCCGCCTTCGATCGAGGACATCGTTTGGCCGAGCTGGACCAACGGAACAGCGAGATCTGGGCAGAGGTGGAGCACTGGCGCCATGCCGAGAAGGCGGCTACAGCTCACCACCCCAGGCAGGTCACAAGTTGGACACACAGATGAACATTGGATATATACTCTGTCTTGCCAGGGTGTCACGTCATTTGTCTAGAGTATAAATCATTTGAAATGCCTGGGGTCGCTTGATATACATATATATATATACATACTCTCCCTCTAACAGGGAAGTGGACAATCCTTTGCTTGTAGACGAAAATGGTCTTGCAAGGCGCCATTTTCATGAATTGTCCAGTTCCATGTTAGTTCGGGAGTGTCTAGGCTATACACTATAAAAGTCTGTTGGAATTCCATTGCACGAATGCCATGGGAAGGCCATCTAACCAATCAGCTATATAGGACATGCTGTAGGATAATGTGACGCCGCTGCAATTCATTCTCAGTGAGATAGGGACCATAGGGATGAGCGGAATCCGTGTGATAGATCATGAGTGCCCTTGAAGCTTTTGCGCTTTGTGAGGTTGGAAGAGGCGATGAAGCGTGAGGCACACTTGAGCCTGCCATCATGTTTGTGTGTCAGACTTTGCTCCGCCTGAAAGCTGGTTTGCTTTGAAGAAACCGAACCGAAATACACGCACAGTTTGGTCTGAGTTCTTTTTGATTCGGGGGGCACAATGAAGAATGACTCAATGACCAAGACCTGTTTTGCCCTGTCAGAGCGCTTTGGCTGATACTCTTCGCCAGCGCATCGCAGACCTTGAGGTGCGAGAGTTAAAGCGCAATGTCGAGTGAGTATTCCAGTCAGCTTGCTAATATATTTGTATACTATGTATATATATAGATATCATACGTATTTACATTATATGTATATAATATATTATGTATATATATATATATTATAATGTATTATATATATGTATACACATGTCAATATGTTTTTATCGTTCACTTCCAACATTTGCAGGTACTCAAGACATGAATGTTCTCGAAGCCGGAACTATGAACCACGGTATATCACGGTTATATTCTTAGTGTGATTCACCCAACAGAAAACATGTCATCTGTAATGTGCAGAACAATTCATTAATATGCTGGAAGTTTGACATTTCTCATCAGTTCTCGAATCAGTCAGTGTACTGCTAGGAGCAGGTGGCAAAAGCTCTCCACGCCCAAGCTGCTGCAGAGGTGTAGCGGCCATTTTCCCTCGTGTTCTACAAATCAAACATAGAAAACAGCACCGAACCCCAATTGATCAGATCCTGACAGTTCCCACGATATGGACATCGGGAGAGGACACGATTCAGATCCTCTTCTTTGAGCGGATAGGGCTTGTCGGTCCAGGCCGACTGCGCCGGCGCAAAATCGCAGCTGGCTAGCAGCCGTTCAGAGATTTCAAAGCTGGTGGGGTACTCATGACAGCCAGTGTGAGGGGAGGGCATGGTCAAATTGTTCGCGGTTCATCGGTAAATGGCTAAAAGCAATAAAGAACATCAACAGTCCATGTCCTTGCTGTGCAATAATCTTGACCAATTCTCGAACAATCCCTCACTGTCCCACAAATGGGTTTCAGCTACCCACAAAGGAAGTAATGAATTAAGATTGCAGCACTCCATTCCAAATTGCCAGACCTCATCAATGAACAAGGGCCGCCACTCAGAATGTTTCAGTTGGTTTCGGATATGGAAGATAGTTATCATAAATTGTTCGCTGGGCAGCTGATCAGATCACCCAGATCCGTCTCCGTCGTAAACTCGCGTCCTGAGGCCGATGCGGCTGCACGCTTGGCCGCGGAGAAGTCGCATGCCGAGCAGATGGCCTCCTTGGCCCATGCGGAGAAAGAGGAGGCGAGATCTTAGGGCTTTCGGATGCTTTCGGTTGAAAGAAGGACAGGTCGGAACAACCATAAGGCTAGGGTAATTATATATTATTGCTTCCCATGATATTTGCATTGTTGTTGTTGTTGTTGTTGTTGTTGTTGTTGTTGTTGTTGTTGTTTTTGTACCTATATATCAACGGTCTTTGGAATGTGTTGTTGTACCTTTTTGTTGCCTTTTCTGCAAGGAAACGGCGTTTGGGAGAGTGAACAACCGTGGTTGTCATGCACGCAAAAATGATGCCACCAAGGAGACCTGGAAGTATCAAGACCAACTTAAACCAAATCTTCTTCAAGATGACCCGCATATTCTACGCTTTCCTGATCGATGCTCTTTATGTGCAGTTGGAATTGATTCTAGGTATTTTGTCCATTTTGCCAGGCTGCGGTGATAAAGCAATTCGTAGGTAGGATGTGGTGGGTTTCTAGTTTGTTTGCGTTATGGCCAACTTCTATACTTGCAATGTGAGTAATCTCACAGATGATTGGGAGAAGTTTTCATCCATACGAATCAAAGCTGAATCAAAGCCGATTCGATTCCTCCGATAGGTGTAACTATTTTGGTTCAAACATTCCCGGTTCAAACATGGACACTAGACTAGACTTGATGCCTGGCGTCGCCCTACCTTGCTTTGTCCAAGGACATTGAACAACTATTTCGGACCCGCAGTGGCCCTGCAGGCACATCGGAAGCACCATGTGCTGGAGAAGGAACACCTTCCTAAGCTGATGGCACAGCACCAGGCAGGTGGTTCAACATGGTTCACCTGTGTCCGCCACATCTCGCGGTCTGCTGCGCGGCCTGCAGGGTGCCAGGGTGCCGTGTTTTTGAACGCGCCAGGCGGCTGCCGGCAATGTGGGAGATCTGCGACATCGACTGGCACAGTTGGAAGGAGAGAACACGCTGCTCAAGGGCAAAGTCTCGGAAGCAGAGGCCACGTCCTGAACAGACGTGGGCTGGAGTCTGTAGCTTCTCACTTCACAGTGCAATGGCCTAGTGTAAGAATTTGTTAACATGCTTTCACTCGAGATAGCTTCTGCTCTCAGCCCGCCATTTGCTCTTTTGTGTGGATGTTTGGAAGATCCTTTTTGCTCATCGCAGGTGTTGATCAGAGGCTTAAGAGCTGAATGCTCCAAGCTGCCGGGCCGGCGGTCCCAGGGACCGCAGTGCCGGTCGAGGGTTCCTTTCGATTCAGATGAGGGTTCAATTCATCTTGGGATTTGGAGGAATCATCAGAGGAATCAGGTGAATGTTGTTGTTGCATACTGCAAACACTTCTTATTTTTCAGGTCGACATGCACGGGCCAGCTCTTCGTGGGGTACCCGGGACAGCGGAGCTTTGGGTCCTGCAGTTGATACCGTGCACAGCGACGGTTGCCCCAAGGACGCATGAAGCGCCAACCTCGGACTTGCAACGGTCGATTTCTGCAGTCCCCTGCTTACGGTGATCCTTTGCTTGCATTTGTCAGCTGGGCACATGGAAAGTACAAGTAGCTCATGACAGCCTGATTGGAAAGGCAACTCCCATCCATTTCATGCGACCTCGCTTTGAGGTTCATCCCAGCCCGTCTGAGGGTTATCCTTGCAGTCTCACGCCAATGGCCCCTTCGTTGATGCCAATGATGCATCCCATGTCAAAAATGAGGCACGGATGGACTCACATATGCTTTTAGTTTAAGAGGTTCTCCTTTTGGACTCTTGGACTGGACCAAGTCAAGCCTCCATGTCGGCCGGTCCGCAGAGAGTTCGCCCTTCTGCGCCGGTCCGCAGAACGTAGTGCTCAAGGGTCGGGACCAAAGTTTCAAGAGACCGCTGAGAGTCGCACGTCGCAAGCGATGTTCACACTATCAGGTGCGGGGGGAAGTGGGGGAGTGCGGCAGTCGCTCGAGGTATTCCTGCGAAGGTGTCGTGTGCTGAAGGTCGCCGGTGGACTTGTCAAGTCCGGTGTCTTCGCAAGTCCGCCAGGAGGTTTGCGCTCTTCGGTGCTGGGCTATGTACAAAATGTGCCGCATGCTGCTGCGCAGGCTGGGGGCAGTCTGGGGCCACATGGCCCTTATTGTCATAGTCTCGTTGATCGATGGGGAAGCATGGAGGGTTCTTGGGAGTACCTAGGAGGCAACTGGAGATGGTTTTTTCGCTCGAGTGGATGTTTTGCTTTCGTTCTAAAATTCCAAGTGAGTGCGTATTTCCCAAAAGCGCGACATCCCAAAGATCTGAAAAAATCCGACCATGGCCGAACGTTTGGCTCGAAACCCGAGGCAAGGCCTGAAGAAAGCAAGCCAGAGATGTCCCGTTCTGAGAGTCTGGATGGAGCGCAGGGATGCACAACGGGCCGGGGTGTACTGGATGGGCGGCCTCAGAAGTGGGGTTGAGAGGCATGCAGCGATGCACTTGTTACTACTAGCGTCCTTGTTGCTACTAGTAAGGCACTTGTTACTAGTAGCGATGCACTTGTTACTACTAGCTTCTTGATGCATGAATTCGATTCACTTCACTTATTGCTTTCAGAGATGCGTCAATTGTGATAGCATGAGTCCTCGACTGCATTCTTTTTCGTTGGTGCAGAGTGTAGAGGCGATGGACAGTTGGAGAGTGGGATTTTTCGCTGTCGGATACCTTTGGATCTTTGGTTCATTGAGACATGTTGAGACTGTATGATTCGGAAGACATGCCGCCGGTTGAAAGTTCTCATGGTCCAGAGAAAGACCCCGCGTGGTCTTGACCACCTGGCAGCTTGAAGATCTTGAGGGGCCATTGCTCCACATGTGCAGCACCCTTCCTTTGAACGGCACGATAGTCATCGATCCATAACGCAGGAGCTTACCAGATTGGTGCGCAGAGGTCCGTTTTGTGTTCCACCTGTTTTCATGGATTAGAACATAATCGAAATTGAGTGCTGAATGCTTGGTGCTTATGATTCTGTTGGTGTCAGTGTGCAGATAGATTGGCAATCAAAAAAGCTAGCAGCTAGCATCAGGAGTGAAGAACCCCACTATGTCAATACAGAGAAAGCAGACCAGCCGCTGAGCATGGCCGAATGATGAGTAAGTAGGCACAACTTTGCACAGCAGCAGGCGCAGCACTTCCTTGCTGGGGATGGTGATGCTTGGCCTTAATGTGCAGGTTTGGAGGGGGATGTCTTGAATTTCTGCCCCAGTACACACACTTAGTCACAGGGTTCATCCAGTACAGTCCCCGAGGAAATGAGTGACTGAACGGAAAGGTGAAAAGTCCAAGCACTTGAAGGTGTTTGAAAATTGTTTTGCACATCTGCTGGAAACAGCGGTGGCTCAGAAAGCAGCTGCAGAATGCGGCGGAAACGGGCGCAAGTCTGCGGACCTACCTCGACCTAACCAGCCTGGAAGGCTAGAGAGGATCGTAGTTACAACACGTCACGAAAATGTTGCAGGTACATGGTTGAGCGTCCTCAACCACTTCCCTTCCAGTGACCCAGCTTCGTTGGATCAGGGTAGTCACTGGAAGCCTGATGCCCCTGCGTCAATGTTTGGGGAAAAACACAGAACTCTTGGAAGCAGAGTGTGGCACACACACACACACAAGCAGTTGCTTTCAAGAACAATTTGTGTTTGCTATTGGACCGCCGGTCGGCGTTTGGAGCTCTGTGTGATTGTCTTGCTGACTTGTCCCAATCATTCACTTCGATCGTGACTTAACCCCACCTGGAAGTATTGAAGTAACACTCCACCACCACAAAATGGATTAACACATGAGTCCAACGTCGGACATCGTCGGAGTCCGGTTCTCTGGTCTGGCTGGTCTGGCTCCGCAAAGCAACCGCGCCGCTCCCGAGGAGCCCCGAGGACCGGAAGCCCTCGGTGGATGGATGGACCGAGGACTTCGACCGACCTGGACCCAGCTTCAAAATCGGTTGCCGTCGGAAGGCGCCCCCGGTCGGACCGACCCGTCGGACGGAGCTCGGTGGACTGGGGCACCTGGCTAGAGTGGCGTTGGCGCTAACAAGAAGAAAGTCCGTTCCACCGGCCACTCATGGGGCCGGGTGGGTGTAACAAAAACGGGGGGGGTGGCATTTACTTGGAGGTCCAGAGGGCTGGCGGGGAAGGGCCGTGGAAGGCCGTGACCCGGGGGCGCGGAAGGAAGGAATGGGTGACGGATGGTGACGCACCGATTCCGTCGATTCCCAGTGATCCTTCTGCTGGCCATCCTCCATCAATTGAGACCCAAGGGTCCAAGGGGCATTACAACGAAGGATGAAGAGATCATGAAGTCGTCCAAATTTTTGGTGCTCCAAACGGCAAACAACGTGAGTGTCCGTTTTCTTCCACGCATTTGACAAACACCATCGGAGTGGAACCGCAACACCTTAGTCCCGCTTGTGCCTGACAGGCGGTGGCCCTCCTGTAGGAGCTGCCTTGGCTGAGGGGCCCAGCCTCTCACGTAGTATAGGAGCATCAATTTGGATGCTCAAAGGCCATCTCCTTGGCTGAGTTCGGAGCTTATCTCGCACATTGATGCATTTTGTGCACAGTTTTCTGACCCGCTTCTTTCAACGACATGTTTCGGCGGGCCAGTTCGGTCCAAAGGAATTGATGTTTGGAACCACAAGATGCATCTCTTTGCCTCTAAGCGGGGTAATATCATTTGATACGTACAGCCGCTCGATCACGGGGCACAGGACAACTAACTCGTGGCCGAACGGAGCATGAACAGAGACGAAGTGAGTTCCTTGCAAAGGAAGCTGAGCTGTGGGAAACATGCATGGAGGATCATGGAGGTGGTTTTAAGACTGGACTCAAAATCGATAGTTGTGTGATGTCGTGTGCCATAATTATGCCATGCAGTCTGCACAACTCAGAGTACCGATGTTGAAAACTGTACAGATGAATCAAGTGGGCCTCTGCCGTTTAAGGCACTGCGCAAAGGCCATGTGACAGGTCCGCAGCAGACTCGCTTGGATACATAATACATTCATCTGGAAAAGATGTGCTGAGCATGGGAGGCCACAAACTCCCATGAGTCCACATTGTGTCTCTTGCCCAGCAACTGAGAGGGGCTAGGAATGCAGCAGTTCTTTCGGAAAGCTCAATTCTGCGATGCTCGAGGTCGAAAAGCACACTGGAAACATGGTTGCATAAACCCTCTTACTTCACACCATGTCAGTTCTAGGTTCTTGGAAGATGGCTTCAGTGTTCATTCTACTTCACAGGTTCTGAATTCTGAATGTTCCTAGAATCCAATGTGAAAACACCTAGCAGCTATACCGTTTAATCCTTTACGCGGGCCCCGCTAGGGCTGATGCTATGGATTTGTTATCAGCATCTGCGGCATTCACAAAGTTTGAACGCCATTGCTTAGAAGAACTTCTGCAAGGTGTAGAACACGACGATGCACAAGCTTTGGTGCTGGAACAATGGGAGTCGATGGATGAAGAGGCCAAATCCAAATGGGTAGAGAATGAAGCGCCAGTTGAAGCACCACACTCTGTGGATGCCTTTGAACCTCTTCATTTGGGGAACGAGACCAGTGAGGTCACTGTGATCGACGAGGTGCTCGAAGATGCTGCACTGGCGCCCGCGGAGCCCGTTAGCGCCCGCGGCCCGGCGCCCCGCCGGCGCAAGCGCTCGGCCGTCGCCCCGGCGCCGCGGAAGGCGCCGCGCGCGTCCGAGGCGGCCGTGGAGGTCGCAGCGGCAGCGGGGGAAGGGATCCGCTGGTTAAAGCCTGGTGAAGCAAGTCTCGAAGAGTCCAGTGATGAGGACTCAGAGGACCACGATGAAGAGGACCAGGCCGACCAAGAATCGAAGCAGCTTGCTTTCAACAGATCTGCAGTGGTGAGACAAGGTGGCAAACATCCGGACTGGCTCACCGAGCCTGCAGCTGTGGCGGAAATTTCACTTCCGCCGTTGTCTCCAGATGAAGTTGTATATCTGCCTGCTGAGGTGGCTGAAAAGCGCTTGCTCAGCAGTCCTCAGTTGGAAAGCGTGGCTTATGCTGCGCGAAGATTCCGTGCTCATCTGCCATCCGGAGTGCGAGCTGGCTATTACCTTGGAGACGGTACTGGGTGTGGAAAGGGTCGCGTCATTGCAGCTTTGGTTTGGCATTTGTGGAACAGTGGAGCCAAACGGCATGTCTGGCTCAGTGCCAGCAGCGACCTCCTAGAGGATGCCACGAGAGACTTTTGTGACCTGGGAGCCGACTTGCCCCTCTGCACCTTGTCATCGCTACCATATGGTTCCATCAGCACTGGCCCAGGCCTGGATGAAGAAGGGAATGGCATCATCTTTGCCAGTTACCACTTGCTGGTCGCCAGCAAGGCTTCAGCATCTGGAGTCCCAACGTCTGAGAATTCGCGCTTAGTACAGCTCATTGATTGGTTGAGAAGAGGGAAAGGGGGTGCCTGTGGCCTCATTGCCTTGGACGAAGCTCACCGGACGAAGAACGTGATGAATTCAAAAACAAGTCAAGGCTCTAAATCCGGGCTGTGTGCCCTGGAGTTGCAACGAGCCTGCCCCCTGGCTGCAGTGCTTTATGCCAGCGCGACCGGCGCGACTGAACTGAGACACTTGGGTTACTTAGAACGTTTAGGACTTTGGGGGCGAGGACGGCCCCATGGAAGCTTTGAAGAGCTTCGAGATGCGGTGGAAGGTGGAGGATTCGCTGCGATGGAGCTTTTGGCCATGACGATGCGTGCAGAGGGGATGCTGTCCTGCCGCTCCTTATCCTTCAAGGGCGCCTCCTTCCGACTAGTTCCGGTGAGCTTGGAAAGCCTCTGCAACACTTACTCCAAAGCTTGTGACTTCTGGCAGGAGAGCTTGAAGCTGATTTTGAGGTTGCTGAAGGCCAAAACACGGGAGGTGAAGCAGAAAAGACTCAAGCACTCCACTGAGCTCAAGGAAAACCCTCTACATCTGAGATATTTCTGGGGCGCCCAGCAGCAGTTCTTCCGCCAGTTGCTCATTTGCACAAAAGTTGAGACTGCCGTCTCCTTGGCCACCTCCGCGCAACTCAGGCCGCCCACCTGGCACTTGAAACGATCGGCCATCACTTGATGAGCTTTCGTTCTTCTTCGAAACCATGTTTTGTTCTGCTTAACACTGTTTAGGGCAAGGATGTCTTAAACCAGCGTGCACCACGCTCACGCTCCTACCGTACCCCGGACTCCTTTGATCCTTTTTGCACACAAATTGCATTTAGTTTTGCTGGTTGCTTGACATATGACATTTTTGCAATGTGTCCTGACTATACTGCATACTATGTATTATTACATTACATTCTATACTGTCACTTATATAGCATTAAGATTATATATAGTAACTATAGATCTTTTACGTACAACAGGGTCCTTTGGTCATCAAAAAGCACCCCTAAACCACCCCCAAAGCATCGCAACTCCCCCACCCGCCATTCCTTCCTTCTTTCCTCTGCGCAGGGGCGAGTCGGTGGTCTTCGCCATGTGGTCCACCGGTGAGGCGATCACCGAGGCCGTGGCGAACCGCGAGGGCGACCGTGCGGCGGCCGCCGCCGGCTTCGCCTCCGCGCCCAAGGAGGCGCGGCGCGGCGCACGAGCCACATGTGCAACGTTGTCCACATGTGGAAACGGCGATTGGGTGGAGCTTTTGGTGTTGGGAAGGTCCAGATGTTGTGCGATTCATGTCGGGCGCGGCATGGGTCGTCTGTGCCGCACGTGTGGATCTGCAGGTCGCCTTGCGGATGCTGAAAGAGTTGAGGATGGGAGCGAGAGCTGCACTGTTTCACGCAAAAAACATTTTTTCAATGTTTCATTTTTTGCAACTCATGAGTCTTGGCAATCACCTTGAAGGCTAAAAAGAACACCGAAATCTCCAATGATCTCGAGAAGTTTCTCGGGCATTCAGGCGAGTTACGGAAGATCGGGACCATTCGTTGTCAGGAACTTGGCTGCCTCCCTCGAATCGGAGCAGGGTGCCCTCAAGGATGGCTGACGCCAGCAGCTTCGCGGGTTTTGACACGAATGCAGTAGCTTTCGGCGTACACGAATGTGTCCGTTTCTTTTATTTCGTGACTCAGCGTATCAAGTTGAATGCTTCATGGAAACCAGCAACTACGTAAGTGACTGGTGTTCTTTTCGTCTCTTTCAGATGTTCTTGAAATTGATTGTCACGCAGGAAATTGATCGGGCTGAACAGACCTTGGAGAAGTGGGCAACTTGATTTCCAGATCCGCAGAGTCTGATTTGAGGATAAGGTCATGCTCACGACTTGTGCAAAGAATAATCGTAGTACAGGATAGATCTTGTCAGAAAGTGGTCCGACTCAGAGGAGAGAGAAAGGATGCAGGTACTCGTAGTACATGAGTGAATGCTGCCATTCAGGTTGGAGTTGCCTCCCAATCCTTTGGATGATATCATGAAGCGATTGGGCGGTCCTCATAAGGCATCTAGATCCTGAGTCGGGCATGAGACATCCGATCATCCGGAGATTAAGCTGAGATCATTTCTTGCAGACAAACGTGTTTGATGGGATCCAAACTCAGTTGCAGGCGTGCTGCGCCTGATTCTACATTTTGACTTGTGCTCAAGCTTCCATTCGACTTTTTTTCTCGGTTCATCTTCCTAGTCGACCAAAATAATGACCACTAGCCACTAGTCAACCGTAAACTCAATTCATCCTGCTGAACTGCTGAACTCTTCTTGCGTAGGTGGCTGAGCTCACTGGCCGCACACGGCGGCTGGTCTACAACGAGCTCACGGGCGAGACACGCTTCGAGGAACGCGGTGAGGGTGCCAATCTCCAGGAGAGGAGACGGCGCAGCCAGCGCGCAAAATCTGGTACAGTTCCTAAGCCGGAAGCGTCGGTTTGTCTGTTGGCCATGGGTGATTTTCTCGTTGCACCATGACCCAAACACTATATAAATGGCCCGCTCAAGATTGTAGGAGAAGCAGGACGTTTCCAAGTGACTTGCTAAAGTTTTAAACGGGTTAAGGATGACATCTGCTGGGTTTGGGTAGCTTGCAGCAGATACATGTGTGAAGCTTTCGCTCTTTTTTCCTGCAGGCCTGCAGCCTGCAAGCAAGTTGTTCATTTTACATGTCCAATCCCTTCTTGTTCCAACTTGGAACACGCTGCTCCCTGGTCTCTGGAAGTTTCGAGGTTTACCTCGGGAATTCATCCTTGGTTCCAAGGTCTTAAGGAATCTGGGGGAGTTCGCATGGGACTGCAGGCTTTAGATCGTTTGGTTATCTGTTTAAATTGCACCCAGTAGGTTTGGATGGTACTGATGGTCCCCGATTTTGGAGCTATGCCCTCATGATGATTCCTGTTGAGCATACATATGAACTTCCCTAGCTAGGAGTTGCGAGCATTCCAGACCGGGCAAAAGCACGTGGCCATCGTCACCGAGGCTGGGTCAGTGGAATTTCCCCATCATGCTTGTTTTTTTGCAGGCATGGGGTCATGCTGAAAACCACCACTTAGGTCTGTTAGGTCTGTTGGTTTTGAAGCTTTAAATGTTTTTGTTGACCAGGTTTCAGCATGTGAACATCCTTGATATGCAAGAACGTCACAGCGTGCGTCATATGCTCGCACAGCACTCAGGCGGCCAGTGCCGGAATCAGCCTCCATTGCGACAGGCTGGCAATATTCTCGGTGAAGCACCGCGCTTGCGCATGGGTTTTTAATGTGGGCTGCGTGTAGCCGCACGGAAGATGCACAGGCGCTTGCCTGAAGATGCACAGAGGCCTGCAACCGTGCTGCAACCGTGCTTTGGCTTACATTCAAATTTGATTTTATTCAGATTTGTTTGTACTAGGCCGCGGTACATGATCTCAATAGAGATGCCATGGGAGGCAGGGTATGTCCAGACAGCTTTGCAGCTTTGCTTGATTCACCTTCACCAGCTGGAGCTTTCCTGCCGTGGTGTGTCGGGCTCTGGAAGCCAAGTATGTGCATAAAGATTTAGATACACAGTGAATGTCTCAGAATGAATGCCAATGTCCCAAAGCTAGAGCTATCATTTTGTCCAGCAAAGTTCAATTGGACTGCCATCACATTGGACATTTAAGATGTGACGACAGAGTCGCCGAATGTTACCCCGCCCTTGTAGAGGAAAAAACATGAATCCCTTTCCGACCTAACATTCACCAATATTCACGCTATTCACGAAGCCCAGCGACAGAATTGGATTTAGAGAAATGGCCAACAGCGACACGCGACCTTTCACTCGATCAAAACACACAGCGACACGCGACTTGGAGTCGTCGCCCATGGCGACTTGGCAGACCCTTCGGAGGTTGCGGCACCGTGACTTACTTCTGGGAAGTCTTCTCAGAGTGTTCGAGCGCGATCAGCTGGAAATTGAGACGCACAAATACGGTTTTGGTCTTTGGTAGGTCGCACGCAGTCTTGTTCAAGGAGTTGTGAAATTTGAAATTGACTGTCCATACTTCAAGTTTTCTTGGATATTCTACTGGCATGTGCTCATTTGCTTGTGTTCCTAGGAATGCAAAGTGCTACAATCGAAAGCCTTTCAGCCTCATTTGAATCGATGGGCCGAGCTCCTGATAGCAGAGGGTGGGCACGGAGCAAAGGTGGACCCACATGACGTGCCGTCTGAGATTCTGCAGAACGCTCAAAGCAGTTCAGCAGAAGTCAGGTGCGGCAATGCCGAAAGTCGCTTTGGCAATGCCTGCTTTTGTGTAGAGGAGTCCTTGTCATTGAACACATTCCCCTTTTGTCACAAGATTTGGGCAGATCATGGTAAACCCTGTCATTGAAAGACCTCCCCAAACCATTGACCAAAGCTTCCCAAAGTGAGCGATCGCAGACCAGGTGGCTTCTGCGGCGTTTGACCAGTCGAGTCTCGCATCATCGAGGTCCTCCACATTTCCCATCAGTGCTTCAGCAACGTGGACCTCAGTATCCCTTCCAACCCTTTGAACTCACTTACCTCCGTTCGGTGGTTGGGAGCATCCGAGGGACTGAGCTAACGCAGAAGATCAACCTGCCGGAAGTGTCTGAGGAAGCAAACGCTGAAGCGATGAAGGCCCAGCAAGGACGAGCTCCGAGAGATCTCTGGGCTGAAGGATGCCTGGATGATGATGATTTCACCGACCACACGAAGCCGCCCAAATGAGGGACTAAGAAGCAGACGAAACAGATGAAACAGAAAAGGTGCTCATGCAGGGATCAAATGGTTGTTTTTAAAGCAGTGCTGGCTGGTTCTCATGATAGGGTCACCTTTTTTTTGACTTTTGACACCCATGAGCAGCTTCTCGTCCCATATTGGAGTCTTTTTTCAACAACCAAAGTTCAGCTCTAAGCTGTTGAAAGTCCATGGCTACAATATGCTACAATCATCGGTGCCAGTGCGCCAGGTTTGTTCACATTGATTTCCAGAGCCGAGAGAACACCACACGACACGCGGGAGAGCAGGGTTGATTTATGTTGATTTCTTGATTACTTCGTGTGGGGAAACAATCCCTTAGATCCAGATTTCCCACCAGGTGAAGAAGACTTGGAGAGACAGGGAAAGACTTTCAACCGATGCCTCGGTCCACAGACCCACGTCTCGGCGCAACCGTCCAGGCCGACAAGGCCTTGCAGCAGCTCGGCCGCGTCCACCGCAGCAACCAGCGGGTGACCGAAGAGCGGGTGTGGCTTCATGGGGAGCAGACAGAAATTCTTGGTCATGTCAGTGGGCAGAAGACATGGTTTGAAGAACTGAATTCCTGGAATTTCCATGGATTTCCTGCATCTTGGTCCCTCCTCAGGCCCTACTCTGACTAAGAATATTGCCATTCTCTTTTCTTGGGCTTTCGTTTAAGGTTCGGTCAAGTGTTCTCTCGAGGTACCCCCGCGCTTTGCCTTCGTGGTGACGGATTTGGGTGGAGAGGCCGTCATTTTTGGGGAGACTGGAGTGCACGGACGGGATGGGACTGGATGGGAGACTCCAATGACTTCCTTTCTCAAGGACTCAAGCTGAACCCAAAACACTCCTGCAACGCCTGCTGTCTCACTCAAGTGTTTTCGCGGAGTGACATCCAAATGATGGGGATCAAAGGGCGTGAAGTTGTTTGAAGCGGATCATGTTCAGCTGATGTTCTGGTTGAAGTAAGTGTTAAAACTAAACTTTGGAGGTGGTTAGGCTAGGAAAGTCCAGTGTGGGGAAAATCATGGACACTGTTTGCGACGGAGAATTGACTTGATTTGAATGAAGTTATATAGCACTGTGAGCAGAATGGAGTGAGGGAGCAGGTGGAATGGAGGAAGCGAGGTGAAGAGAGAAGAAGCCACGGAAGCATCGAACATCATTAAACTATTCCTGGCCCGAGACTAAATCAAGAATACATTGAATCCCAAACAACCAGTGTTTTACTATCTTTTACTAAGGGTTTTTTGATTGCAAAGCCAGGTCAACCATTTTTTAATTATATATTATATATCTATATAGTCTTGGAAGGCTAGTGCTAGGGCGGCTAGGGTATATATATATATATAGTTGTGCTATGTTGTGTTCATTGGTTGGCTCCGCCTCAAGAGGTCTCCAAGATCTCCAAGCCACTCCCCGTCGCTTTGGCACTCAAGATCTTGAGCAACTCAAAGGTGGTTGCACATGTTGTGGAAGCCCGGACATCAATCATTGACATATGCCAACCATTTACAGACGGTCTGCGATCGTCTGTCTAGTGGCGCTTCTCTGGGTTCCGAGGAGGCGCTTATTCACCTCGCTCCGAACGTCTCCACCAGCAAACGTTGCACCACTGACACCGCAGCAGGTGAAGGATGGCGCATATGCAGAGTTTGTTGAGTCCTGGATCACCCGCAAGCGCCACAATCAACTGATGTGGTTGCCATCTTCAAGTTCGACATTGGGTCCATTGAGTCCATTGGGTGGTTTGGTTTCCTTGATGATTGTAGTTGGGGACTCTTATGCAGATGATATAGACATGGGCTTCCAATGTTGGCCCACGCAATTGAGCAAGGCTTTGCATGCTCCAGTGCTGAATGTCGCCCGTGGCGGATCTGAGTCTAGTCACATTCACTCGCAGCTCGAACGGGCGCACCTGTGGACGAAAGAGCAGCAGCTACAGGTCAATCTGAGCGAGGTTCTTCTTGTTCTCCACACCGGTGGCAATGATGCGCTACATTCTTTGCTGAAGCCCTGGATGTTTGTATCGCTCATCAGTGACTTGTATTCCCTTCGGTCTGAGGCAGTCGAAAAGAAATCGGTGGAGCTCAGCTTTCCCAAGAAGTTGTCAATCGTGATCTTAAGAGAGGTAGATGAGTTTTTGGAGAGGGCAGCGGCTTTGGGCCATCGGAAGGTGGTGATCAGCACCCTCCCCATTGTGTCGTCTCTTCCTTTGGCGCGGCTGCTAGTTCATGTGTTGGTTCCAGGAGCTGATCCCGGCTTTGTGACAGAGACCCTGGAAGCGGTGGGTGGCAGCATCAATCGGCATCTCCAGGAGCAATGTGTGGTTTTAGCCCAGAAGCACGGAGTAGAAGCCTGGATTTTTCAAGAGGGTGACTCCTTGGATAGCTTGGCAAAAGGAGCAGAGGCTGCGACACATGGAGTCTTTTCGGCCGTGAAATTGGCATTGAAGCGCATTCGTCGAATCATTTGGGCCCTCGCGTCGCAAGAGAGCCTTGACGGCCATGAGTTTTGGCATGATGGTCATCATCCTGCTGCTCGGGCCCACGAACAGCTGGCAGCTGAAGTTCTAGAACTCTTGACGACGGCACCTATCTCAAGCCAAACAATTGCGTGTTCGTTTGACAAGCTGTTCAGACCACCCCTGTTTTTAGCTCAAATGGGAAAGACATATTGGAATGGAATGTTCTTGTCAGCAGGTCGATGCCACCCCACAATTGTTTTCCAGTTGTTGCAATAGGTGCCATGGGGTCCATCACCATCCATCAGGATCTGCATCGGCTCCCCTTGGGAAGAGAGCTGCATCGGAACGGACAACACACACCCCTCAACACACAGTTCCTCACCTGGGATGCAACCCCCCCCTCCCACTTATGCCCGGCCAGGTTCGCTTTGTCTCCACCGTGGCGCGACGCTTGCGGATCCTGGGAGCTTGGGTGCCCGGTCTGACCGGTCTGTGATTCGTGTGTGACGCGTGGTGGTTGGAGTGCTTTGAAAGTTCCCTTCATTTTCAGACAATCGGCAAGCCCCAAGAAATCAAGTCCAATCATTGGAAAGGAATGAATTATAGTTATAGATAGTTACAGGATGTTATAGGCACATGGGTAAACTTTGCCACGCATGCGACCATGGACAATGTTGGAGCTGCTCATGTTCGCTGATGTTTCTCTCGTATATAGTTCTTTTGGACTACATATAACTATAATTGGTCCCAGAAACAAGCTGGAAGCGGCAAGGGTCTTTTGCAAAATGTCTTCCGACTTCAGCCTAACTCGCAGCAAAAGTTTTGTGTTGGAAAGTCTACGTTGCCTTTGAATCAGGTGGACAGCATAGCAGCATGTGCGCGCTATACTTCCAGTCACCATGTTTACCCCTGGCCAATGAGGCCATGATGAGGGGCGACCGCAATTCAGCACATGGGGCCGTACAAAGCTTGGCGACCTTCGACATCCAAAACCGCTGCTGGGTGGCAATCTCCTGGCCGGACAGGTTGAGTAATCATATGTGATAATATTTTGTGTTACTGTAGTCTGCTCTTGAAGCAACTTTTTTGTGGATGTATCTGCTGTGATAAATAAACCTTTACTCCAAACAAGAATGTTCTTAGAAGCCTCATCAGCTGGGAATGCCAAACACCAAGGTTTTCTTGAATGAGAAGGCTTTCTGAATCTCCTGAAGCCCAGGCTATGGACGGCAGGCATTGGCACGCCTCTTTGAGCTACTTCGCAGTGGGCAGGAACCAGAGGCACCTTCTGGACTGGCACAGGAACGTTCACAGCTCAGGCTCTTCTTACTTTTATATAAGTTCATGTTTTCTTTGTTTCTAATAGCAATGGCCTCCACCCCAGATATTTTGGAAGGATACTTCACAGCTTCTCCAGGGATGTTTTTGCTCCGGGCTTTTTCCGTCCTCGTCCAGAACGCCTCGGTCAAAGCTTTCACTCCTTTTGAGGTAACCCATGATCAATCAGTCTCCAATCGAAGGTTCTTGAAATTACAATCAGGTTGATCAGTTTGCATCGAGAAACTGCTCAAATCCACTGGTAACAAACTGGTCACAAAAGAATAAACTGAACCAAATCCTTGGGTGCGCCGTTGCTGTTCTGATTCATGTCCAAGGATCATTTTTGTGTCATCAAGAGATGTCCCGTTCTCTTGGAACACCTGGCAAGCCCCCCATGCCAACTCATTATCATCACTTTTCATTATCCGTATCCCTTCCCATTTTGAAGCCTCAACAGGTTCACCTTTAGTTCAGTAGTGTACCCCCCCAAGCTGTGCACACAAGCACAGTGCACACACGAACCACGTCGATGGGAAGGTGGCCTTCTCTTTTCTTCAATTCAGCGACCGAAAGAGCAAGGGCAGCAGCTGGCGAAGCTGGGATCTCAGTCACTGCGTGTCAACACCCAAGAACAAACCAAGAAATGGTTGCTGGAATGAGCATAGCCATGCCAGGCAAGTGGAAGAAACGACCACTTACTCGTTCAGTATACGTTGCCAGTGGGCAATGTGTCATATTCTCGATACGAAGTGGAGATTATGATGTTGCTGGTTTTCCCCCGTATCAAAGCTGATGTCAGACAGGCTGGGCCGACTTCAAGAAGATCGCCCTGAAGGAGGGGCTCCTACACAACCCGCGGTCCATCCACTGATTCGACCAGACCAGCCGGTGATCGGTGCATGCGACCGGATCGATTTGTGAAGCTGCTTGGATCACCGGTGGCCCTACTGTTGTAATTAAGTAAGCGCATGTGACATGTTTTTTAGTTGGTAAGTATGTTTGGACAGGGCGGTCTGACCCGACACCTGTGGCCACAGGGATTGTTCCTTCATTTTCCCTCCAGTTGCTGGCATTGGAGTGGTCAAATCTTGGTTTCCTTGCAGGTATATTCCTACACCGTTGATCCCAGAAAGACCAGCTTATCCATAGGTATGGTTCAAACATGCAAGACTCTTACCAGTCCGTCAAGGACTAAAAAATCATTCGGACAAGTTAGTTCCACCAATCAGACCAGTTGGTTCCTAAACCGAAACATACATCCAATGGATGCCATTCACATTAATGTTTGTTCAATGAACCCGAGAAAAAAAGACACCCCACTGCGGCACCCAGCGCCTGCACCTCGCCTCCCTCGCGCCGCCGAAAAGCGGCCCGTCGAGGCCTTGGACTTGATCGGCTTGCGACCGGACACCGAAGACAAATACGAGGCGAAGATGTCCGATGACCATGACGATGTCAGTGACGACATGGCCAGACGGACCATTTGATGCAAACATCCGATGAATCCGATTGAATATGATTGAATCCTACACCAGATCAAACAGTTTACAGTACTTGTTTTTAATGAACAGATCCAGTTTGCACAAATTTGCACAACTTGTTTAGTGAGTCCCTTCAGTGTCGTGTATTTTTTTGGGAATTGGGCACCAGGGACCAGGTGGTGATACACTGATACCATAAGACTCTGGTATTAGGGTTTCGATCAGAACAAATTGCATGGCTTTGGCTCCAAAGTCAAGGGTTTTCAGGAAAAGCATGCGCTGAGTGTAGGTCATTTCATCTATCAATCAGATCTATCAAATGGGGTGTGTATTATACAATAAACGTATATTACTGGACGCTTTTTGAACCATACCCTAATGTGTTCGCTGGAGGAGTCTTTGGCGGAATCGAAGAACTTGAACGTTTTCCTCAACAGGCTGGAAACAGTGAATCAGTCGGTGAACTGAACAGATCGAAGGAACCTGAGGCATTGCGGGCGCCGGAGGTTTGCTTCTTTCTTTTTCCGGGGTCTAAAGGTCGTGGACTTTTTCCCCGGCGCATTGGTCTGCAGGTTGCTGATGCTGGAGCCTAGCATTCAAAACGCCTTGTTTGATGCCGTGGCGGAGTTGTACATGCACTTGGTTGGTGCTGGCCTTATTTGGCTGTCCTAGTAGCTGGCTGGGCTTCGGGATGAGCAAGTGAGTAGTGGCTATATGTGAAGCTTTGGGAATAGGCAAACGAGCCGCGATTCTGAGAAGCAAGGCCCCTGATGCATAAGCATGATCCACCGGACTCAAACAAGGTGTTTCTTCAATGTCAAGTATATATATAATATAGCTCGAGATGTTTCAAGAGAATTGTGGATCCAATACAGCTATGGTGCCACACCCATCTCAGCTGAGACCTGGACCGGGCCTCTGGGGCGTACGATGGCGGCCCAGAAATCCTGGATCGGAGGCCGAGCATGTTTTGGGGATGGACGCCAGCTGTGCTGAAGCTGGCACAGGCTGTGCTTGAAATGGCCTTGTCAGGCGAGGTACCAAAGCAGAAGCCGGGGCTCTTGGTACCAGGCAGCTTGAAGAGGCTGAGCTATCTGAGCTGAGAACCAAGCAATGAGACCTCTCAAGTCCTGGACCAAATTCTTCATCAATAGCATTCGACAACTAGCAGCACTTGAATCCAGGAATCCCCTGGACCCCAATCAAAAGTTCCATCGAATCCCTTGGTTTTGTCATGTGCAGTTGATCATGTTGGAAGTTGGCACTCTGATGCTTCCTTCAGTAAAACGCAAGAACCGGCCGAGGTTCGTCTTGTTCATCGGGAGGTGCGCTGATCAATCGGGTTGGAAGGGATGTTGAATGTTTTGTCCACCCTCTGATCGAGGATTCAAGAGATTAGGACGCACAAAGAGTGCAAGGGTGACATACATTTGAAAACACATATTGTTGATACAGTAGACAAGTGTCCGACTTCTCATTGCCTTCCTGGACCTGTGGCTTCACAGGTCCTCTTCAAGGATCCAGTTACAGGAGCCGAAACGGCAGCTCGGACAGCAACACGTCGACCCAATGGCGTCCTTCATCTCTGGAACCTGAACCTCAATGGGTTGCTCAGTACTGCTTCTTGAAGTAGATCACCCACCTCCAGTAGATTAGATCCACCACTACCACTGTCTTATCCAACCCTTCGCTGCCGCGGCATTTTAGGATACTTTTGGTGGCCCGGCCAAGGCCTATGCCCGGCTCCAACTGGATCGCGGCATGAGCTGGGAGAAAGCCAACGAGGTGCTGGAGAGCCGTCAGCGCGGCCGAGCAGGCTTCTATTGGAGACTTGGCGAAGAGATCGAGCATGATGGGGGCCATCCCTGATCAGACTAAGGGGGAGGTCTAGATGACGACAGAAAGGTCAAACTGACTCTAGTGGTCGGACTCTTAGCACCCTACGTACAATAAGTGGCATCCTGATGTTAATCCATTTTGGTGATCCACCTGCAGCGATTGCAAGTGAGGTGCCCACGCGCTCCCAGTCCATTGGTCCTTGCTGTTCCTCGGCCTCGCTTGCATGGGCTTCGTGCTGGTGCAGCCTCTGATGATGATGAGAGTGATGCGGATTTAGATCTTCATTGGCCCCAGGGGCCACCCGCAGAACATGGCTGGGAGCAACACGTCTCTTCCGCCAAGCTGAGGAAAGGCGACTTTTTCCACAAAGCTGGTGCAGATGAGCTCCCCAACGTGTCGACCATCTGGAAGCGTTTACATGGGTCTTCTGCAGATCTGGCTGGAAGATGGGAAGATGAGCATGTCTTGACCGGCTCCATTTTAAGCACTTGGGCTGTTCTCGGCACAGCCATCAGCGGAGCCAGCACTTATTCAAGACTCAAAGTGCAAAGGATCCCTTTAGTCAGGGCCAAGCTTCCTGATGGTGGAGCGATCGTTGGAGTCCGTGTCCGTCATGAGAGGTTGCAAGAGGTGAGGTATGTTCTCTCAGCACTGCATGATGCGAAGACCAAGACAACCTCTGAAAATAAGGACTTGCGAGCGATTGGCTGCACCTTTCCAACACCTGCATGTAAGATATGCTATTGTACTTGTAACAGTATGTGTCCTCCAAAACGCTGTCTACTGAGTCTGGTGGAACACCCTTTTGGTGTTTTGGGCCCGTGCAGGAAGCGGATCAGCTGGGCGTGCGGAAGCTGAGTGCTGAGTTGGAGGCCTTCCTGAGGACTCAGCCCAACCAGAGCGCCGCCTGGAGGAACTGGGCGGGTGCGCATCAGGTCTTAATGGCCAATGGGCTGATACCTGAGGGTGCAGTGGGTATGCAACAGGCACGGGAAGCCTTTGAGGATCTGGAGAGGAATGGGAAAGTAGACATTCAACCAGATAGTGTGCAGCTGCGAGAGAAGCCCAAAGGCAGCGGCTGGTATATCCCCCCCACCCAAGAAGCCTAAGGCCAAATGCCGCGGCCGGGGGAGGAAGCGCTAGCCGCTAACCGGCCTGACTGTTGTTGGGGATGCAGGCGGAATGATTTAGAATGATTTAGGAGGTCCTGGCAATGCAACCCAAAGAGGTTGAACCCACAATGCCGAGACCTGACGACATGACATGACTTTGTTCTTGTCAACATGCGTGTGAGGGGCGATGAATCTCCTCAAAGCGTTCTCTGGGACTCAAATTCCATCAAGTTCTCCTTTCTGCGAGGGCTTTCTTCGTCACAGGTTCCTGTGACTTGCTAATCTTGCTACAGCTTAGACTCGGCGCATGATCTTGTGTCTGCTAGGGGGAAAGAAGTCATGGCGATGACGTCAATGACCTCTGTACGTATGGAGGTCGACAGTCGACAGCTTTGAGTTTTCATGCTGAGCTGCTCCAGTCATGGTTGTGTGAAGTTGAGGGTCAAGGGAGCTAAGCAGTTAACAGCTAACCATAGCTAACCTGTGGCCGCTTATGGCTCCTGCAACAGGTTTTGGCCTCGTGATTGGACTCGGTCTTAGTGGTTGCAGTCTGCGCGCAGCTGGAGGCCCAAATGGAATGGCCAAGTCACAAAGATCACAGTGTATGGGTAAATTGAGGTTTTCTTCAGCTGATGCTGGCCAAGTTGAACTGGTTGGAGTACAATGTTATCATTTGCCTGTATTTGACAGTTAGCATATGTTAGCATGAAGTTGCATAATGTGAATTGCATGTTTCCAGACACCAACATTTATTGCAGATGCTGTGCCATGCCGCTGAAGGGGTATGACGACGGTAGGCGATTTGAAACGCCCTCTTGATGCCGAGGAAGAGGCCTCTTCCAAAAAGGCGTGTCTGGAGGTGTCCGACGGGAAGACAGGTGAAGATGGTGGCCAGCAAGGTGATGAGCTGAAGAGGACCAAAACACATGAAGAAGAATTTGATGAACTCTTTGAGGGTGGCTTTTTGGATGAGCCTCTTAAGGCTCCTGTGGCTCCCGAAGAGGCAGCTAGAAGAGAATTCGCAGAGACGATTGCACAGAAGGGCTACAGAGTGGACGAGGAGGAGTTGCCAGAGCTTTTGACTGTGATTCATGAAAAGGCTCCTTCATGGGGTGAACAGAAAGAGAGGCGTTCTGCAGCTTTCCTCATAGGCTGTATTGCCCGATCCACCCGGGCATGTCGAATCAGCTTCGTGGCACAGGATGGCTTGAAGCTGTTGGGCGCAGTGCTTAAGGAAGCCGTCCGTCGGCTCTCAGGTACTGAAGGTCGAGAGGAGGCTGGCATGGTCACCTTAGCTTGCCTAGCATGTTTGAAAGCATTACCGCTGGGAAGAGCCTCTCTGTGGGAACATCGACAGGCCATCGGGAAGCCCTTCGATGAGTTACACAAGTGGTGTGCCAAAGAGCGCAGCGCCTTGGCCGCAGAGTTGCGTGCCCCCACGCTGGAGCTTTGCAAACGCTGGAAACGACAACCGAAGCCTGCGGCACAGGAACAGAGCCCAGAGGATAAGGCCATGCGCCGTCGCGTGGTTGAACTCATCTCACAAGGTTTGCAAGGCTTTGGTGGTGCTTCTCCAGCATCTCCAGCCGGTCCCCTACCATCTCCAGCGCAGCTGCCCAACAACCTGGTGGCTGTGGAGGTGGAGAACTTATTGTGGGGCAAATATGGTAAAGCCAAGGTGGCGGACTACCGGCACCACGCCCGGATGCTCCGCAGCAACTTGTCCCAGTCCGGGAACTCGGAGCTGCGCGGGCGGGTCCTGTCGGGCGCGCTGAAGCCGGAGGAGCTCATCGCCATGGATTCCAATGCCCTGGCGCCCGAGGAGGTGCGCAAGAAGCGCGAAGAAGCACAAGAGAAGGCCATGAGGGAGTCGGTGGTGGAGGAGCTGATTCCCCTTCACCTTCAAGATGGAGACAACAGCGCTTTTGACCGGGGTGCAGATCTCAACACTGCGCCGGTGGTGTGGGTAAGCCCCTCCAAAGAGAAGGAGAAGGCCAAGAAGGAGGAAGTGGAGGAGGACTCACCCAGCCAGAAGGATGCTCTACGAATGTTGCCACCACCAACACCCTTCACCTTAAGTACTCCGGCTCCAGCACCTCCAACAGTAGATGTTAGTACTCCAGAGATGATGGCGACTCCAGGGCCTGATGACGATGATGAAGACGAGCTCAGTGTGCTACGCTACCTATCAGCACCACCATAGACATGCAGCAGAAAAGAGAAAGAGAGAGAGAGAGAGTCGACTGAACTTGCACACCAAATGCAGTCACGAACAGGCCAAGATCATCATGGTGACTGGATTTCAACATGATTTGAGTGGTTGGGGATTGAATTGCTTGGAAGAAGCACATTTTTGTCTAAAAGAGCTCCCTTGGTTCTCTTGCCTCGTTCCCCGTGGTTGAGCTCAGATCCTCAACGCGTAGGCAAGACATGAGACATCAAGAAACCAAACGGATGGCGAGATGGTCTCACAGCTTTTCTGAACATGGTTTACTTTGACAGAACTTCTCATCACTTGAAGCCTCTAGTGACCAACATCACTCAGCGATAGATTGTACATGTAGGTTTCACTGGCCATGGCCATCCCTTTGGTGAACGCTCCGTGGATTTCCTGTCAGCACCGTGTGCCACGCCCTTGCTTTCCCACCCGCCACGCACCGCAGACAGACTGGAAGACCACGGCCGCTGCAGCCACATTGGGTGGCACTCTGGCGGCACTGCTCCAACGCTTGCGCCGGGCCGTGCCACCTGAACGCCGTCGGCTCCTGCGGGAAGCGAGCCTGGCACAGCTGCGGATCATCGCAGTGGGGCTGGAACTGCCTCAGTGCGCGGATGAGCAGAGGTTGGCGAAGAGGATCTCTCAGGCTTTTGAGGAGGATGACAGCTTTGCGCGACAAAGACTGGGAGCTACGCTGCTGAATAGCCCCATTCTAGAGTCGAAAAGCGAAGAGTTTCAACGGCTCATTGCTGAGCGGTTTAAATGGAGAGAGCTGCAGAGACTTCCTGGCAAGTTTCAGTTTGCTTTCATTTGCTTTCAATCCAATGCAAGATACCTCAAAAACTAGGTCTGACAAGTCCAAAATGACAACTGTTTGGGACATTTTGGGACAGTTCTTAAATCTGACAACCCTTTGATTCCAGCAATTCCAAAACTGTGATTCCAGCAATTTCCACAACCTTTTTCGTTTCCACTTGATTGTTTGACTGCCCTCGATCCTTCGTTATCTCTCGACTGCCAGGCCTTTGTCGGCTGCTGCGACTACGCACGCGGGGTCGGAAGGCCATTCGACCATTCGACGGCGGGCATCGCAACCAGTTCAAGAAAAGTCCCCATTTGGATCGGTCCGGTATATGCCTCTCAGAATAGGGAGACCCCCCAACCAAGTATGTTTTAGGTTGCAGTTTATAAGTGACTACATTAGCACCTGCATCGGCCTATTTATTTGAGGTTTCTGTTTTATTCTCAGGACTATTTCAAAAAAAACAAGGACTATTCCTTAACATGTCCAGGACTATTTCATAAATACTGTAATATTTAATATCTATTAACTACTACTGACTACTACTAGTTAAATACTAGCTATTCTACACAGGATTCTGTCTGATTGCATGGCCTTTGTATAATGGGCATTGGTAGGGCCCATGCGGAGTGTTGGTCTAAACAGTCGAGCCACTAGAATGGCAAGGTCAGAGTCTAAAATATTACTAAGGCCAAGGCCCAAGGCCATCCTGTTGGCTATGATTCATGGGCGATGGATAAAGTAAAAGGGCTCTCTAGACCACAAACTTTGGTGGAGACATGTTTCCTTACAAACACAGACCAGTCAGCTACAAGGGAGACTGGGGATTAGCGGGATGTCCATTTTGTATTGAAAGGTTATGGTCAGGTTTGGTATGCTGGTGTAAGATTTTTAACACTGTGACACTGTGGCAGCAGACGCACACATGTCAGATCAGGGGCGTCGTTTTCTTTGCAAACCTGGAAAGGGTGGGAAATGCTGTTTGGCACTTTGCCAGCCCGCGCCTTCTTTGGTGTTGTTGTCGTCGTTTTTTGAGCTCTCAGGCTAAGGGTGAGTGTGAGCGTTGAAAGCTGTATCATGTGGCAGCAAGGCATCACTCGAAAGGCCAGGAAAATGTGTTGTTACTGGTTTCTTGGCTTCCTACCTTTGCCAGCCTTTGCCATGGCCATGGCAAGCGATCTTCAGTCTGCATCAGCAGCATCGTTTGCCAACTCAGAAGAAGCAGATGTGTGCAAGGCTTTCCTGGGTGCTCCAGATGGCATGTCCGAATACAAGTTTGACCAGCAACCAAACTGAAAACAGTCGATGTTTGATGTCCTGTGAACAAACGTGACTGTTTGACTTATAAATATTTATACTTTACTTTACTTTACTGTACTGTACTTATACAACGAACTCAAGACTCCAGCAACTGGGTTTCTAATTACAGGTTCGGTCTGGTGCTGGGAATGCATCGAGATTGGACGGAAGCGTGGAAGATGTCAGCAAAACAGAACGCCTAGCCAAGGCTCCACAGGTTCAATTCAAAATAAAGGCCAGGCTAGGCTAGAATCTTCTTTTTCAGGGACTGGTGCTGATGTGACCAGTACAGTAGATGATGGTAGAGTTTTTTGACTGACCAGGCTACTGGCTTGAATCGGCCATGTTAGGTACAGTGTCCCAGGGTTGTTCCATGCAAGATTCTCTGAGGCACTCTGTCCACTCTTCTTCCTTGGACGCCAAGCCCATTTACCTGGACTGGGCAGGCTTTGTTTGCGCTGAGCTGAACCTTCCCTATTTGGACAGGGACAGCGATGGTAACCTACCCAAGTGGCTTGGAGGTTATGTTATACTAACTCACCAAATTACAAACCTGTTCCCATTGCTGGGGGCCTTTCTATCCTGATTTGTTGTTTGCCTTTGGCATATGCAGTATGGCGTGGCATATGGAATTGCCAAACTCTGTTGGTGAGCAAGGAAGAACAATGAAGTGCAGTGAAGTGATCTGATTAATGGGAGTGCGATCGCTCTGATTTGATTTCTGATTCTGGTTTGTTATCAATCATTTGAAATTCGGTTCTAAGGTATATCTTGGCTGAGGGATGCGCTGGGGCAGCGACTGGTACATATTGTATGCCACTTGGCGTATTGCCATGACAAAGAATTACCTAACTGCACCAACTCAGAAGGACACAGTGTCATACATGAGTCAGGGGTCACATTGGCTCATTGGACTCACTGGAGTCACTATCAATGCCAATGCCTTGGTTGCAAATCACATTTAGAATCTAGAAAGAATCAGATTGGCCGCCCTTGAGTCCAGTTCAGTCTTTTGCAGACCCAATGACCTGTGAGGCATTGTCCATTTTTCTACTCTTGTTTTTGCTTCACAAACTATGGCTGCGAGGCAGCAAATCGAGAAGGTCTTGAAAATGGATTGGACAACCTGTTCAGTGTCAGACATATGCCCGATGAAGAGGAGGTGGATGAAGGCCCACTACTGCAAGAACCCTTCGAAAAGCCACTTGGTCTTGAGTGGAATGTGTGTGTGTATATATAAAGTGAGTCTGTGTTGAGGTTGTAGCCACTGATTCGGACATGAGATGTGCATGTGACATGTGTGACCCGCCCTTTGTATCCTTTATATGTGCCACATTCACACACGGTTACTCTCACATACAGTGCACACATACTTCCTGGTGTTATGGCGCGCAGTGTCACTAAGTAAAATAAATGGCAAACAAGTCACCCTCCGCTGCAGTCACTACTTGCACTGAGTCCAGCACATGTTCCAGAACATGAAGTCCGGTTGCGAGGGTGGCCACTGCGAGATTCATGATGGGTTCTGCCACCGCCAGTCGCACCAGGACAGACTAAGTAATTTCTGGTAATCGGGTCATCAGATTGCGGCTACATTGAACTCGAACAAACCAGTGTAGGATGATCCAGGATGATGGGACCTTTTTTGAAGCTAAGCTAGGCTAAGCTGACAGGCAACTTCCGAGCACAATCTTGCGTCCTCATCCTCATGAACTACTTGTTGTGAGTTCTTTTGTTGTTATTATTGACTGGCCAATGGACCGTGTGCAAAGACAATGGGCTGTGGCCCATGGCTATGGACCTTGGATTCAATTGATATGGCATTGCTGTGCTGGCGTTGCCGCATTTGAAGTTGAAATACATGACTTGGGTGTTTCAAAAGAGCCCAGTACAGAGTAAGGCAATGGTTGCGAAGTAGATTATCCTGAATCCTTAATGCATCCATCCCGCATCCCTGGCTTCAGGATATATTCCTGTTTGGCCCTCCGTGCCAGCCGTATTCGAGACTGAACTCCAAACGTGCTGATCCAAAGTTTTGCCCAATGGACACCAAAGAAGCTGAACCCTTCGTTTGGGGTTCGAGGCATATTCGAACCTCAGCTGCACTTCCTTTAAGCCTGGGTCTGTTTTGGTATGCAGAAGGGTAAGGGAACGAGACTTGCTCCTAGGCTATGATACAGAGGGAGAGTCAATAGTCAATACGAAAGGTGTCCACTGTCCACTGTTTTGTTTGTAGGCCAGCCAAATGTTCATGTCATTTGTGGCATTGAAGGAGTGCTGCAGCTTTACTTCAGACCACATACATTACAGGGATGGCCCTTGATATACGGCGGCATATTGTTATTTGCCACAGTGTTAAAGAGCGTTTGAGATTTGTTACTGTCAAGACAAGACTCAAGACTTTATGGCACCAATGGTGCGTGGCAATCACTGACTGCCCAGGTATGAATCGGCCACTTATTGCAATCATGGAGGAGGCCAGGACCAGGGTCAGTAGGAAAGAGGTGGAGCCTCTTGGTTGGGGAGTATCATTGCAGCCAGTTTCTGACAACTTCCAGCACTCGTACCATTTTTTGCAATTCACATATTGAGACGATCACTCTGCGGCTCCAGCAAACTCACTGAAGGCCTGACTAGAATCATTTGCCAAAGAGTCCAAAGAGTCAAGAGTCAGAGTGTCTTAGTCTTAGTCTTAGTCGTAGTCTTTATTAAAACGGGAATAAACAGAAGAACTGACTATGACTAAGAGAACTGAACTGAGCAGCGTACAGACATATTTTAAGACTGACTTTGCACTTTGTGGTCAGCAGCTGGAGATAGATAGCTGGACTAGATCCTGCTCACGCCTGTTGAAGAACACATACTGTAACAATCTGATCATCTCATCATCTCATCTCAAAAAAAT